TGATGGTTACTTGAATGCTGACAGCCTGGGGTCTATTGATCAGGAAGTCCAGGACCCAGTCCTCCTGTCCTTGGACTCAGACCAAGAGGGGAGAGCTTCTGCACCAAGGAATGTGGGATGGTGGTGTTAAAGGCTGAGGAGAAACCACCTATGACCATCCAGAGTGGATTGATTCCTCTTGTAGGCACACTTATATGTGATGTTGGCGAAGTCTTTGATGTGGGTCATGACTATCCTGCCAAAGCACTTCATGATATTAGGCTATATGTCTATAGGCATTCAGACCTTTCCCTGTGGAGCACTTGGGGACATCAACAGTAGTGGTTGACTGCAAGTTGAGACTGTTTCCAGTAGCATTGTGGTGTTAAGACCAAGACCTCAGATAATTGGTCTGCACAATCCCTGGTGCTGATGGGGAGGTAGGGATCTTCAGAGCTGGTAGAGAACCTGTGCATCTGTCAATGAGGGGTCCCTTGAGCATTTTCATCTGTGATGTTTTAGCTCATGATACATTTGATGCCGTTCTTCATGTGCTGCAGGTCTTTGGTGACCCTAAATTTTCTGGGTGTCTGTGCTTTTGTCCTTCACAATGACTGGAGTAATTCTTTTCCTTTGTCTGGACCTTGCGATCTCTAGTCCCACGCAGTCCTGTAGCACAGTGGCCACATTCCTGGGCCACACAGAGACTGTTTTTTTTGTTGGCCTAATAGGTCGCATCAGCGGTCGGTATGCTGGTGCCAGCAGGATGGATATGTGGTCGGAGACACGAGAAATGGTTCGAGGAGAAGCTCTGTTCAAATGGTGAATGTTGGTGTTCCTGTAGTCCAGGGCATCTCCTCGCATAGAAAAGGTAAAATAGAATAGAAAATCCCTTTATTGTCCCACAATGGGGAAATTGTGGTGATAAAGAAGGAGAATCATTACAACAGAAGTGGGCACACAATCTGGACCTTAAAAGTGTTAAAACTGGGGATTGTATATCCGTTTTTCTTGACTAAAGTCCCCCACAACAGAAAAAGCCCCCCCTGGTGCGTTATCTGCAGCAAGTGTCAAACAGCATAATTCAGCTCCTGGTGGGATGTAAACAATGGTGATGAACACCACAATACAATCCCATTGCACATAGTGCACCCAACATTTCAACGTCATATGTTTTATCGCACCCGACTTTCACCCATAGAATGCTGCAGATAAGCAACTGCCCCATAAAGACCCTGACAGATAAGTGAGAGAAGATGGATGGATGGAATTAGCTTTTTACCATTTCACTAGTAAAAACTTCCAATGGTGTATAATCTGTGCTTATAGTGGCACATTTCTACTTAAGGGAAATACATTTCAAAGCCTAGGAATAGTGAAATGATAAAATATCACATCACTGTTGGCCTTTATAGTATTTTAAAAGCAGATACTGTCTCCTTGAAACATATACATAATTGATTACATCATCTTCATTCTTACTTTAAGGATTTAAGCTAGAATATGATGAATTTATGCCTGAATGCTTAATGACAAACAAAAAGGGTGTATTAGCATTTTTGTGACAAAGACAAAATGCAGAAAATATTAAAGACCACATATTTCCCTTCAACCCTTACAGCAAGAAATCCACAGGTTTCATTTCCGGTCTGGGACCTAAATGCATGGAATGTGGAAGACCTTCTCTGGTATTCTGACTTTCTCCCACAGTCCAAAACATGATAATAATGTTAATTGTTCTCTCTAAATCACAATTAGGTATGTCTGCATGGGTGATTGTTTATCCTGTATGATTGATGAAGTACTTTATTGATGTGAGACAATAATTAGTTCTTTAGAATATGATAGCTGGAAAATTCAGGCATACCATCAGCAGCAGCATGCCAAAGAAAATAGAAGCATATAGCACTCAAAGATAGTAGATAAACAAAAAAGTAAGTTTCATGCTGACATACAATACCTCAATAGAATAAATAAATTATGATTGAAAAGTGTATTTATTTCAGTAATATAGTGCAAAAATTGTAACTCACATTAAATATTCATTGTGTACTATGTTCTCAGTCGAGAGTAATTTTGTATAAAACACTACATCGATAAGGCTTTAAGTGGAGGAGATCAGTCAAGGAAACTTAGGCTGCTTAACAGTTTCCCTAAGCTCAACTGCATTGGCAGCAAAGAACCAACAAACTAGTGGCTGTGGAGATTGTCTGCAGTGAGTCAGACTTATATACAGTCCTACACTGAATAACAAAACAGTAATTATAAAATGATTTATGTAAAATAGACTTATACCGAATTTGACTGGCAACTGCCAGCTATTACGAAGATGACTAATTTGAATCGCCAGGTGTTGCATTTGCGCAGTGGCGGCCTAGTGGTTAGGGCATAGCGCTTTGAATGCTAAGGTTCTGAGTTCAAGCCCCACTCCCAAATACTTGCACTCTGTGTCTGAGCAAGACCCGTTTAGAGGAAAAAGGTATATGGCTCCCAACAGTGGTGAATATTGTAAGTGCTGTTTAATATAATACAAGTATGTGAATAGTTCCGTCTGCAATTAATGAGTCAGATATGTGGCGGGTAATGTTCGGTTTATTGAAAGATTTAATCTGTCCCAGTGCAAATGCATTTTGCAGACATTTAATGTTGTAGGGAAACGGCTGTTCCATCCGTTGCATTTGCAAATTCTCCCGAGTGGTGCCCGACTTTACACAAGTGAATAAAGTGAATGTAATTGGTCGTTAATCAAGGGGGCGGGATAGCTGTGGCGGAAGGTTCGCAAGCAAGTTGGGTTGTGGCCGATGTCTAGGAAGCATCTTGCTAACCAGTTAGCAACTTAGTACTAGTAGGTTCCCATGGGAAGTTACATTGGTACCAAGTAGCACTTAGCAACGACACTGTCAAGGAATGCTATGGACAGTGGAAACATGCAAGAGGAGGAGAGTTTTGTGTCGGAGTCTCCTCCGTCATACATTTTTTAGTTAGAGGAGGAAAGCGGGGACAAAGTTGTTGTGGAAGAGGACGCCAGGGTGACAGAAGCTTTGTTTGGTGTAGAAGGCTTGCATGTACATGTTTGAGCCCTTGCCTGGCAACGCTGCCAGTTCTGTTAACTCTATGCCTGCCGAAGACACAGACGTCCATGTGAACACTGGGACGGAACTCAATGGTAAAGTAAATGATTCTTATTTGAAATGTTGCGTATATTAGCTGTGACATATGAATCAAGTTACTATAACGGAAAACATTTGATTGACAGATGACCGTTGATATACGATTGGCCAAATTTAGGTGTACAAGCTGACGTATAACTAACTGGCCTGCATAAAATAACGAAAAAAAACCCCACAGATTTTAAGACAGGATTTTTTTTTTATTAGAAATTTTCTAAATTTTGGGACAATGTAGTCTGATAAAGAGTACATTTATATACATGAATATGCCAGAATGATGACATTTAAGTATGACTTCCCTACGGCTTTACGCACAGATTCCAGTATCTCTGCAGTGTTGGGACTATAAATCTAATATTAGCTATGATGGTACTGCTGCTGAAGTTAATTGAAAATGTTATTAGCACCAAGAACAGTAGTAAGAATTCCGGTATTCATTCTTTGCTTGCTTTGTGTGTAAACTGTCTAGTTGACAGAGAATAGGGCGGTGAAAGCCGAGGAAGGCTGGACCTGTTTGAATCCTTGAATCCATCTTGTAGGATTCAGCTTCGGAAATCAAAAACACCCGCTGTGTGTGTGCATCTGCCGTCTGACCTTTAGATGTCACTGAAAATTACACATTGTAGCTTTAAGGAATGCAATTGTTGTACCCTATGAACTTCTAAATACCATTCTGCCACTAGCTTATATGTTAGAACAGTGACTGTCTCTACTGTTTACTGTACTTGAGCTTGAAATGGCACACAAAGAGTATGTCTGTGTAATATATCGAGTAATTAAATTTTGAGAATGTAGCCAGATGCTTTAATCAGGTAAAAGTTGTAGTTCAACTAACATTACTCAAGTAAAATGAGTAAAAGTGCAATAAAACAACACAAAGAAGTTCTTTAAAGAGAAAGGTTACTTAATATAACTAGTTATCAGCCACCTCTGGCTGTAAGAAATAATAATCCAAAGTAGAGATAAAAACAACATGTAAGTCATTGTTCAATGAACGTATATAACATGCATCCCTTTTTAAGTTGAATTATGATCGAAATTTAAAATGGATTCTATTTAAGCAGTCTCCTGTTGATAGTACCTGAGAAACATTACTAAACCAACAGAAACCGTTTCATGTTAAGCTATGATGTACTGCAGGTCTGAATGAGGAACAAAGACCCAAAGGACACACTCTTGATTCTTTTATGGTTTAATAGAGATATTTTTCTTTCAGTCATTTATAAAATATTCAAAAACTTTTTTCTTTATTTACATATTAACAGGTGACTGTGCAAAATTTACAAGACAATAAAATGAGATCATATCAGTCTCATGTGTCAAATATTTATATACAAAGAAAGAAAGAAAGAAAAAACAAACATTTTCATAAGCTGAAGCCATCAACCAAAGATTACAAGTTGTAATCTCAAGCATAAAACTATAATTGTTATGTGTACTACTCACAAAAAAAGCCCATGTTAAGTGGGATGTTGATCTGAGGAACTAAAAAAAAGGGAAACAATGCAATCTTCACACGGAAATTTATTATAACGTCATCCCAACCCGTTTTGTTTTCTATCATTTCAGATATAGTTACCTTTTATTAGAAAAAGTAAAATAAGGTAAGAAGTTTTTCAGCAAAACTAAAACAGATCCTCATGATAAAATTTGATAAAATGTTATCTTGTAATATATAGAACAAAATAAATGCATACTTCTGTTCTCTAATGAAAACTAAAGAAATTCGGAGCATTTAAAGTCTGTAGCAAATCTGTGGCAGTAAAATATATTAATAAAAATAATAAAATCATCCACTGAACTCCCATTGAAAGCTTTGTTTTTACAATATCCCCAAGTGTTACATAAATCACATAAACAGCCTATTAGAAAAACTGGATTTATCCAGAGTCATTCAAAATCTCTGGAATAGATAAACCAACACTATGAATGGATATGGCTTTACTTTAAGAAGGCAGCTGAACAGATGTCGATTCAACAACAACCAGGAAAACAGCCAAGCAGAGTAACAGCGCCCTCTACACTCATTGGCAACCCTGTTAAAAAGGTATTGAAATAAATTCAGCATTTATTAGAGAATCATAATCTCAGTTTTTTTTATCTGAATTCTTAATTGTAGATTTTTAGTCGGAGGGGAATAGAATAAAAAAAGACATAGATTGTGTTACATACATCACTGAGGCCACGTTAATAAGCACCCTGACCGTTAACCTTTTGTCAAACCTTCTTTTGCCAACTTTTAGATCAGTCTCTTCTCCAGCAGACATGAATTAAATGAGTTGCTCTTTGGCAGACCTCTACAGAGTTGAATGACATGTTATGGGAATTGTGCTGGTAGATTTAGGTGTCTTGGACAACAGTTGGTTCCTCCTTAATCTAATCTTTTTCTAAAGCTCCAAATATTTAATATTTTTTTCTTTTTTTACAATCACACTGATAATAGATCTAGCCATGTTTATATGGAAGCTTGAATAAATTTGACTTATGATAAATCAATGTTAAAGGCCCACACTCTAAATGTTCTCATTGTAAACAGTAAGCAGGACAAACAAGCCTATGTTACATCATATTTATCCCCAGTGAAAAGAGTCATGGATCGATTATTTTATATTTTCAGACATTCTGACCAACGTGAAATCTTTAATCTACATTAAACCTTCAGCTTAATTCACCATGAAAATATTAGAGGTACCAATGAGTTTATTTTTTTCAAAAACCTGGGGTCTTTATTCCAACCGACTTAATGTACTCAAATCGTACCATAGACTCTTTTTTTTTTTTTTTTTTCTATATGAGATTATGCATCTGTAATAAAACTGTATTTAAACACTTTTAAACAACTTGAATATTGATATCAGTTAGTGAGAGTGCAACTGGTGTCATTACCCGATCACTTCATCGCTGAACATGCCACAAAAAATGCCAGTGCTTCAGTAGGTGCATTTAAAAGCTGATGGCTCCTCTGTGTTTCAAATTATTTTCTTCCTGCAAATATCTCTTCTAGTGCAGCAGATAAAATAAAGGGCCATTAGGTCTGCTTGCTTTATCCCACTGTGTGTGACTAGTCTCTTCGATCCAGCTGCTATTTAAGGAGACCTTTGTAGAGCAGCTGGGAGTGACTGGTCTCTCTGTCATTCTCCAGACATAAAAGCAGGTCCCGGAGGTTAACCCTGGTGATGCGCTGTCGCATAAACTGTCTGGAACCAGGTCCATTGGAGCCTCCAGGCTGAGTGGGACCTGACCCTGAAGCCTGCAGGGTTGAGTGGCGGAAATTATTTAACAATTCAGCAAAAAAAGCATCTTACTTTTAATCCCAAGTTTGCAAAAATCATTACCTCTGCACTTGCACCACTTAAAGGGGAGTCTGTTTTTCTTTTTTTCCTTGGACCGATTGCTGCAAGAGCTGTTAGGTTGGCTTCTCTCTGCCTAATCTGGGCCAACTCCAGCTGCTGCATCTGGAATACGCCAAAAAAACAACAACATCAAAACATTGAAATCACCCACTTGAAAAAACAATAAGAAAGAAATGACTTTCATATACACCCTTTTCTGCATATAATTACCTCCTTGGCCTTCTGTTTAAGTCTCAGCTGCTCCGGGTCTTCTTGCCTTGACCTGGACTACAGAAATATAGAGAAGATTTTGAATATTTTAGATTGGATCTGTGTGATTAGCTCATAAATCCATTGTTTTATTCATTCACTCACTCATACATGGCATATATATTGGCTAGCAGCATAAAAATGTACATTTATGATACAGATCACAGATTTTGGCCCTCTATGCAATCATAACAGTGTGAGTCATCCTGTCAGGCCCTTGTTTAAATAATGCTAGGTCACTCAAGTTCAACAAACCACGTTTCCTGCTAAGATGCATTTCATGATCGTGGTAAAAGAAAAAGAAAAAAAAAAAAAAAAAAGGGAAAAACCTACAAAGAAACAATGTCTTTACAGTTTGTATATAAAAAAAAACAATAATTATCAAAAACATTATGATAGATTACCATTAACCTGTTGTTCTGGGATGGACCACATCACAAATCAAACACTGTATAACATGATAAGGCTTTTGCTTTTTTGTACAGACAAACAAACAAACAAAGACATGACTTTAATAGGTATTTTGTAAAATGATTTATACCATAATTTCAATACGTTATTGGTCAACTTGGATGATTTATGGTCTGACCTTCTAACCTACAAATTAATCATCCCCAAAGGATGGTTAACTATAACATTTATTATAATTATTTTTTACATGAATAAATAGCAAAGATAAATAATAGGTTCCTAATATTTGGTCAATAAAAAAATATCTTTTTACATTTTGTTTGCATTTCTAGGTATAGTGGAGGATTTTCGCAAATTTCTCAAATATAAAAAAATAAATAAAAAATGCACATGCACAACCCTGTACCCGCTCCCGAGAGGGAACGTCTATTAAATGCATTCTAGAGCATGAACGAGCCCATTTCTCCTCGGGCACGCTCTGTTTAAAAGTTGTTGCTTGCATCGCTCATACAAGCTTACTTTCCAAAAGAAGATTTGTTATTTTTCCACTATTTCAGACTCACCACCGTTAAGTGAAAATCGAGCAGTAAGGCAGGCCTTACGTAAACATATCACCAGAATGATTGAAAATTAGGAGAACCTCTTACTTTGATGATGACCACTTATTTTGTTATAGACACCTTGAAAACGTTGAATATTGAGACTGTTAGTGATGATCCATCCCAAAATACACCCCTGTTTGTGTATTTGCGAATTAACATGTTACTAGGGGTGTCACAGTTCTATTGCACCCGTCTTCAGGATTATTAATGTGAATGTTGAATTCGCCCACAATAACTAAACAGTCAAATAGAACAAACACTACAGAAAAGGTCGCATTAAAATCACTGACAAGGTTTGCTTAGGACTAAAGGCTGATTTATACTTCAAAACCAGGTCCTCTGCGTATGTGTCGCAGTGAACAAAAAGACGTCCCCGCCCCCTCCGCAGACACTCTGTTGCACCTCTCCCAAATTGTAGGTGACTACAGACAGGAGGCCGCAGACAGGAGGCCAGCTTGTTTTGTTTTTATGACCACAAGTGCAGAAAACAACTTGTGAAGATGGACCAGCTTGAAGAGCGAGGTGCGCGAGAACGCTAGGACCCTTTTTCCACCCGGATCCCCGCTCTTTTTCGCCATCATGTCCCTCCGTTGTCAGACAAACTTGCCCCCACGTCCTCTCCGCCTCGGCTGTATCTAGACCCACAGCTTATAGTGCAGACCACGCTTCACTATTGAGCATAAACCAAAGATGTCTGCGTCAAGCTCACTGTGACACACTGCTGCGGGGAGTATAACCAGCCCTTAAGGAGGCCTGTAAATATTCAATAACATGGTTTGGACTGACTTCTTTAGCAAAAGAGCCAAATATTCTAGCGCTTTTCTTTAGGTGAAATTGTTAAAAACTGTAAATTGAATAAAACTTTATAAAAATCTGTATTCCATTTCCTTTTTTACCCATATAAAAGAAGTAAAGCGAGTGTTTGAGGTGAAAGGAAAGCTTCCTGCTGTTCTTAAACCGGCAGATTTGTCTCCCTACCTTAGCAGCCTTTAGCAGGATCTCTCTCTCCTGCTCCTCCTTCCTTTGCTTCTCCATCTGATCTAGCTGCTCAAAGAATTTGAGCTGCGCTCGCACGTCGCTGACCTGCTCACATCGCTCATCCTCCTGAAGATTTTATGAAGTAAGATGTTTGAAGGAAGGGTAGAAATAAAAAAGCTATGAAATAAGAATAGAACACATTTTGCAAAGCAAACTCTTGAATTACTAAGAAACATTCATACCCTAAAATTTATATTCTTCTGCTGTGCAACATGTGAAGCCTTTTCCAAAAGGTTCTGCAGTCGTTGCTGTGTAGCATGGGAAATGTAACTGATCACATCTGTGCCCAACTCGCTGACACCAAACCTCTTTCCTGAAACAGATTCCAGTGTGGGAAAAAAAGAGGAATGAATGAGATTTAAGCTACAGTAAAAGAATAGCTCCTTTGTCGCAGAAGTGGATCACTTACCGATCTGCAGAACTATCCGAGTGAGAGAGGAGATGGAGAGAAAAGCCTCGTCCTTACAGGACCGGGTCACAATCCCCACCAGTTCAGAGCTGGTTGCCATGATGCGGGCGCTCTCCTCAGATAAATTGACTCCTGCCATGGAAGCCACATCATTGATATCATCATCATCCCTGTAAGAAAGATGAAGTAAAAACAAATTTATTTTTTGTAAATTAAAATCTGTCAAGGTTACATAAAGGTGATGCTACTGAGTAACGGTAGCATCACATAGTTTAATTATAACCATGATAAATATAACGGATATCTTTCATTTTGCTTAATAGGAGAATTTGAACACCAGTTCCTGACTTTAATAATTTTTTTGGCCCCAAAGTAAGTTTTAGATCTACAATAACTTATTCCCTTCTTTCAAAGAACAAACATTTTTTCATTTTTTTTCTCATTTAATTTTTTTGAAAGTGAATTATTTTGGCTCGCGGATACTTTTGCATCAATTTGACAAAAATTGGCGTATGGATAAAATAAATAGTATAAAATAAGGAAGTGTTATCAAATTATAATACGGCACTGTTTAAAGACTGCATATTATAAATTTTCCTACTAAAAGAGAGCCAACTATGTATGCCCAGTTTTACTGTAACTAAAGCTGATCTAGCATTAGGAATTTAGCTGCCCTTTAAATTAAGGTTTTCTCCCAGAAGAAAAAAGAAAATAGGACTGAAATAAAAGCTAGTTTTGTCACCTTTCATTATAAATTTTAAAGGGGTGAGACCTTTAAGCCATATCGCCAAGCCCCACACTGTGTCCAAAAAGATTTTCTGTACTGCCAGAACAGTGATAAAAGAGCAATCATTGCTGTCCATAAACAATTATAAATTAAATTACAAAGTACCAGCAGTCTTAAACTCCGGTCTGGTCTAGCCAGGTCAAGATCTGCAATTACAATCGCAGCAAACAGGAAAGAGAACGAAAAGAAGATCCGGTTTGTCAAATTAAAATATGGTAACGACAGATCGGTAACTACAAATTAAGAGCATAATTCCTATATATTCCCAAAAAATAAGACAGTTTAATTAAATTATTGGATGCAAACTATTGGTACTTCAACATACCAGGAAGTGGATTTCTCATCTCCATCAAAATATTTATTTTATTAAAATGCGTTTGTGTATCGAGGCACGTCAGGGGAGTCTTAATTGAATCTTGTATTGTGTGTGGATTGTTTTGGGCTTGTGTGAATTGGGTTGTGCATGTTTGGATCTTGTCCTGTGCATGTATTAATCACATCTGTGTATTTGTGAAATGCCCAATTTCAGGCGTATATGTGTAGTGAGCTACGGCTACGGTTTCAGAGAGTCTTGAAGCTCTACTTTCTCACCGCGGTTCTTTGAAAAGGGCCGAGGGTCGTAAGAGAAAAAGTGTCTACGAAGTTCAGGAGAAGAAGTGAAAGGCCTCAGAAGAGGCAGATATATCCCAGAATGCTTTGAGCAGAGAGCCCTCCTCGCAAAGCACTATGGGATTTTCTGTCACAGCAGCCCGCGACTAATAAAGATGGCGCAGGCACCGCACAGTGGAGGAGGACTTACATGACCAATGGGTCAAAAAGCAGCGATCATCTGTCCAAACGGTCAGTTAACTGAGTTTGCTATAAAGTACATAATACAGGCCCCGCCGTATGTGTACACACAAAGCTTGTAATATCTATGAGAACAGCACATTTTAAACAGGGCATGCACGAGGAGAAATAGGTTTGTGCATGCTCTGGCACAAGAATTTTTCTTTTTTCTTTTTTAAGGGGAGAGGGCGGGTCTTCGGAAAAAAAAAACCTGTCCTCAGCTCCCTAGAATATGAGAATTACATATGGTTATTAATATCAACTGTTAGTGTCACTGTTTAGACTGATGTGAAGGATTTTTCAACATGTAAAGACTTGAAATTAATTGCTCAGCATTTTATGTATTTTATTTTTCTTACTCTAGTAACTGATTTCCTGGATAATCAGAGGGGGGACTTTCTTTCCAAGATAAAAAAAAGCCTCTGGGAAGATTCCATTGAGGATTTTTCTCAAATCTACTTCTGTTAGCCCTCAAAAGTTAAAGTGCCTTCATATCATGTCATTGTGATATGCTGCAGCCAATCTGTTGTTTATGAGATGTCACCTACAGCTGTTTTTTGTCAAGTTTTTCCAATAATCATTGGGAGAAATCAAGTATTCATGTAGTTGTGAAGCCACAAGCTTATAACTCAAGTCTGACTCGATTTGCAGTTACATGACCCAAGTCCACACCTCTTCCATTATCCAATAATACCAGAATAGAGTAATGGATTGATCCCCACTAGACATATATTTATCAATAATAAATATTAAAGCTTTCTGATGGGATCACAAATGATAAAATAACAAAAAAGAGATAAGAACAAAAAGTTACATTTAAAAAAAGCTATAGTTAGTAATCAGCAAATGTATCTCAATAAATATAAAGAAGTGAAAAGGTAAAACAAGTAATGGAAATACACAGAGGACTTAAAAGGTAAAGTATTCTAGATGCCAGATGGAGGACATGTACAAAAGACATATATATAAGCAGCACAAACTTGAAAGTTCCTCCTCCAGCTTCCTTCAGCTTGTTCTGGACATTGATGGGAGACGCTGGGTTAATCACTTTTACTCCTCTGGCCCCTGGAACTACGGTCTGCTTCACCATGGAGACTAAAATTGACAAATGGGGACAAAAGTTCACTTTTTGGCATAGATAACATAAGATTAATCACAGCAGCCATTTAAACAGTCCAAATCAATATCACATCTTTTTTCCGACAGTATAACGCATTAAAAAATGTAACCACAAGGTGGCAGCAATCCCATCATGTAAAACCTGAAAGATCTTCAACTTTGCAGGAAGATTTATTTTCAAGTGTCTCTGTAGCATATCAGCCTTTCATTAGGGCTGGGCGATATAGAAAAAAAGCTTATCGATAAAAAAAAATGCATATTGATCGATATCGATAATTATTGAAAAGATTTGAAACCATATTTTATGTTCAGCTCTGCCTGGACTTATTATGATATTGCTAAATGATTTAATTTTAATAAAGAACACAAACACAGACTTCGAATTAAATCTTTATTTAACCAACTTTTTTAACCATAACAGAATTGTTTTAAAGAAAAATAACTTAAGAGACCTGAGTTATGTTATTAAATACTGACAAAGAATAAACTAAAGTGACCAGAAAAGTGACCAAAATAAATATAACAAATAAATAAATGCCCCCCCACCGCCGCCCCCGTTTCCTGCTTTAACCTGAGTTATTACTTTGAAGTTTCTGGCCCCTCAGCATTTTTATCTCAATTGTTAGAACTACGTGGGAAACTGCCCAGAACTGAATATATATATATATATTTTCCCGAAATTCCCGAAGATTCCTCGGAGCAGAGCCGCGTCGGGGCCTACACAGCTCGTACTCCTGCGGGTGTGAGCGGCTGAGATGATAAAAAAAAAAAAAGTTGGTTTCGTTATCAGACTGGTTTTCACTGGTTCCCGACACATTTTACAGATGACTGTGGTTTGTTTTTGGTCCGACTTGCCATGACCGAAATACTGCCAGACTGCCGAACTACAAAAACCTTTCTTTGAAACAATTTCCTCCGCCTCTCCTTGCTGCGACATCTGCATGTGCTCTGTGTTGTGGTTTGAGAGGGCGGCGCTTGGTGACGGCGTGCCTGGGTCCGCGATTGTGATTGGTTAGGAGGAAGTAGTGACTAGCATAAACCTACATGCTAGGCTACAATGAGAAGGAAGGAAAACTGCGTTTCTTTTTTATCGAACTTTTATCGACCCTCTTTTTTTCTATTGCGCCACACGTCTATCCATCGATATATATCGTTATTGAATTATCGCCCAGCCCTACCTTTCATTAACATTATTGCACAGGATTAATATTGCATTTTTGTGTTTATAGCTACAGTGGGCAGTTATATTGAAACCCAATCCTATATAGATGTTTGAAATCTCCAGTTTAAAAATCTGCTGAACTCAAACCTCGTGAAATCTGCCTGACAATCTGTGGCTGACCGACAATAATCCGGCTCGGAGCTGCTCCTCGGATTGTCACCAAAGGAGACTGAGCCAACGTCACCTGTGGCCTCACTGTGCCGCCCGGCTGCTGAGGTACCACCTGCACATAATCACACACACAGCAACAAATGTTAGAAATTCAATAACAGAGTAGGATTTTACAGGTGAACGTGAAATATTGAATTGAAGTTTCACAGAAGCAGCTACATTACCACTCCAGGTTTACTGTTGGCTTTATGGGACAGGGTAATGACGGTGGCTTTGGTTGCAGCAGTGCCTGTGGCTGCAGTGGCTGTAGGGGGAAGAGGAGGTCGCAGCACAACAGCGCCGAGGGCTGTGGAGGCTGCTGCAGTTGGCTGAGTGCTTGGCTGGGGCAGAAGGCTTTGCTGGATGAAGGCCTCTGAGTCTGGGGTCATTTGGCGCAAAGCTGGAAGACTTCTCTATAAGCAGCGGGAGACAATAGATGTATTCAGTGAAAAAACTGAAGTTTCGTAATTTTTGACAGGTTTTTGGATGTTGTAGAATAAAACTAGTAGAATGAATAAAGTCATTACATTACAAAATAAAGTGACTGTAAATAAAATAAAAACATATTACAAATCAAAATCACAATTCATAATATTACAAGAATAAAGTCAATATTATTCAATGAGAACTCTGGCTCTTTCATCCCCTCCACTGAAATGAGGACTGATGAGAATCTTGTAAGGTTACGCTTTAGTATCATTTTTACAAATAAGGAAATATTCAACCTTTTAGCTCATAAGCACCAAATAATTATTTTGTTTAGAAACGGAGCTCAGCTTTCTGATTGGTTGTTTACATATTTTGTTTTCTGAAAGGAATAATAATCGGACAAATTTATTCTATCATGACTTTATTCACAAAGCATTACGACTTTATTATTGTAATGATACAAGAATACATTTTTTATTATTACAACTTTAGATAGCAATATATCTATTTTTTCTGGTAATATAACGAGAATGAAATCATAAGATTAAAAATGTATTCTTATAAAATGCATTACAGGATGACATTCGTTTAATTTTTTTTTTTTTGGTCTGACTCTAATACTCTGTCTTAGATTACTTTTAGATTTGTATTTAACGATTTGTTTTTTTATGCATATAGATGAACCGTCCGTAAAATATTTGGATGTAGATAAAAGCTGGTCTAAACGTTTAATCTTAGATTGGAGGACTTCCAACACACAGCGCTCTCTTAGCTGTTATTGTGTATTGATTTCATTTTCTACATGAAAGCAACTGTTTTTCTCCAAGTATCTGCTGAATATAGCTGAACTAGAGATAGATTCAATGATTTCCAGGTCAATAAACAGCTTTTGATGTTTATCAATGCTCTGTCTGGATTGCCCTTCTCAGAAACTGGACTATGTAACCAGAGATGGTCAGATCTGTCACTGAATGAGTCGCGTGAGTCATGAATGAGCCACCTAAATGTTGTTGTTAAGCAACAACACAGATATAAGTAGTACCTGAGGACTCTGTTTAACTGTAGCAATGGTCAGCCGGATGCCAAATAGTGGCGGCGCTAAAATTACAGCTTTCTATCACCTTTCGGGTTGCTTTAAAAATGATTATATCAAACTAAATTATCTTTCAGATTGTTGTAGCTATATTCATTTATGCCATATACTGTATCTGTTCCAAGGTCAATTTAAAAAGTAGCGGAAGAACAGTTTTTTTTTTCTTTGATGACGAAATATGAATTGCATTAAACACAAGTTGTTGCTTTTCTTTTTTTTTTTTTTTCCCTGAATGAAATTTATAAAATCCATGAGTGCTAGTGCACTAATATAATAGTAGTTTCATTGCATTCATTTATCCCTTCAAACTTAAGTTGAGGTAATAAATAAAAACCTCAACAGTGTGATTTGCATTTGTATTCAACCTCTTTACTTTATAAATTCAACGGCAACCAGCTACTTTCAAAAGTCACCTACTAAGTAAATGAAGTCCATCTATGTATAGGTTATAGTAAAATTTTTTAATAAATATTATATTAAAACTATTATAAATTAAAAATATTTTCCTGTAAAGACGTCTAATGTTTGTTAAAACAAAAGCATCAAGCAGAAAGGAACACACCTGGCAAAGATAAAGCAGCAGTATATGGTTACCTTATCAGTACTACGTTAAGGTGCGTCATTAAATCAATCATCAAAAATAGAAGATAAAGCACAGCTGCTAAACTAAACTGACAGACTAAGCAAACTTTTACAAACGAATGGTAATGTATGTGTTTACTGTTGGATAACATTTAAAGAAAGACCATTTTTGCAGCAACTCACCTTAAGGAAGGGGACAAGGTATGGCTGAGGGGAAGAGTTAAGCTCCTTGTACAACTGCTTGGTGAAATCATCAGGCTCTATCCTTCCTTCCTGTTAAAGTAAGGAAACCAAATGGTAAAGCTATGTGAGGTAAGCAGATATTAGTGTACGAATGACAGATCAGCAAACTGTGTAGAGAAGTACCAGCAGGCTCTTAACAAGCTCTTTGACACTGGCTGTAGTCTCCGATGACTGTTTTCCATTTGATGCCAATTTGATGAGTGTAGACAGAAAGTTTCTACACTTTTTCACATTTTCTAATGTTTCCTAAAACAAAAAAAAAAAAAAAATATTCAGAATTTGACTTAGTTAAACAAAGCCAGTTGTTCTACTTCTCTCTTACAGCTGAGATGGCTATAGGAGCAAGGGGCGCCCCAGTGGCTCCGAGGGGCGCCACCCTCTGAGTCACTACTGTCGTTGCCTGGACTGTTGCTGATGTTCCAAGGGCCTGACCTGAAGAAGACGCATTTCCTCCCAGTACAATAGTATTCTGTTCATGTGAGAGAGAGAGAGAGAGCACATGAGTTTACTTTAACAAGACATGAAGCAATCAGACATCATCTTTTAGGACCAGCAACTAAAAAAAGTCCCTAAAACTAATTATCCCTTAAAATTGTCAGAACCATAAAGACACATTTTGGCGACAACCTTGATGAGGTTTTGTTGAGTAAATACCATGAATTTCTGTTGATTTTGTTAATTAGCCTTTGTCCAATAAACTAACTGGTAAAAGTAAAAAAGGCAAATATGATGGAATGAAAGTCTAATTTTAATTTTTTATCATATCAGTGTGTTATAAAAAAAAAAAAAAAAAAAAAATCCCCCCTAGAGGGGTCTTTTTCTTCTTCAGTAAAGTAGGTAGATTATTCTATAGTAGTGGGCTAATTTAGATTAACTGATTTCATTGATTATTCAAATTTTATGTTTATGACAAATACATTTTTTTAAAACTGTTTTTTTTTCCTTAATGCACTTCTTGAGTGGCATCTGTTCATCAGAAGATCCCTCCTCATTACTAATATACTAGCTCACTGTGTGATTTCACTAGCTGCAAATATTTAGGGCGTTTTATTTTCATTGTTTTTGGGACTTTTTTTACCCTTTAAACTTAGGTATTAATGTATGTAGTTGTTTTGATTATTTTTATTAGAAAACTAAAGGGAGAAAAATAAATCTATTAATTAAGATTTAGTATAAAATAATAGATTAGACATTTTAGCCATATTACCCAGCTAGTATGTATGATTTTATCAAAGGCACCCCTTATAAACAGTTACACAGTGATACAGTGGGTAGCACTGCTGCCTTGCAACAACAATGTTGCAGGTTTGATTCCCCGCCCAGTGTCTTTCTGCCGCTGGGGGAGTGTTGGCCTAGTGGTGAGAGCAGTGCGCTCGTGCTCTGAGAAGGTTGCAAGTACCCCCGTTTGATCCCCACAGCCTGTTCTCTGGGTCCCTGAGCAAGACCCTTAACCCCACACTGCTCCCCAAGGGGATGGGTGAAATGCAATGTGTTAATGTGGTTGCTTTGTACTTGTGACAGTGGAAATTATCTAAGATGACCAAATAACTAAAAACAAATAATTACCTTGTTTTTCTAACTTGTAAGTAAAGGGAAACAAATGGCCTAAAAGACATGTAACAATCTTTGTGTTTGCAGAGTTCTACACATTCTTTCAAGGTAATTCCAGGAAATGGATGATACAATTATGAAAGCCTGTTTTATCTTTTTCCCCACAAGGACTTGAAAATTAATAAATGCTTTTTATCCAATATAGCAGTAAATAAACAAACAAAAGACTGGTGACTAATCCAGTCAGTGTCCAGGATGATCCTATTTTCAAATAACGATTGGCAGTCAAACAGAAGCCAACTTTTCTCGAGGAATTACTGAGTTGCTAGCATGACCTATTGGAACAACAACAGACCCACATTGAAGATCATATTTACATCTGTGGGCTCAGTGAAACATCAACTATTGTCAACTACCCTAAAAATATTACATTTCTTTTTAGTGTAAAACAGATAATAAAGAATGGTATTAAATATGTTTATTAATAGAATGATGTCTTCTTGTTGTGGTAAGTAGAAACGGGATAATCAGTCTGATGCGGGTACCTGGAGAACTGGAGGCCTCTGCAGTGTGGCGGTGGTGGTGACTGTAGTTTGAACAGGGGAACCCTGTTTGATGATGGTGGTTGGAGTTACTGAGCGAGCCAGCAGAGGAGCCCCAGGAGTCTAGAGAAGAGGCAGAGATGCTTTCATTAGTTGAAAAAAGAAATACAAGACAAGGACACAATAATCATTAACTTTATTGCCCCATTTACACTAGCCCTCTGAAACCGATCTGTGCAGAGTTCAGACCGAGCTTGGATCAGTTACCCGTACCAAGCTTGGTTCTTACGACCATTTACACATCACGCTAGCACAGTTCCTTGCCTCCTATCAGCGGTCCGCAATACTATAGCTCTCAAGGCAGGAATTTTGCAAACAAAAATGTCGGCGCCCATAACATTCAGGAACTTATGTGCCTGAATAGCTTCCTCCACCTAAATTTCAATGAGAGCGTCGGTCTCGACATGATCCTAATTTGCACAACGCTCTTTTGATGTCATTTATTGTTCATAGATTGAGTTTGTGTTGTGAACAGGTGAAGAGATCTGTGAATTGCAAAGCCGGATACGGCGGAAAACCAGCTAAATCAGTCAGCTGACTGTAAATAGGAGATGATGCGGTCTGCTCATGAGCTCCTATTGTTGAACTAGTACTAGATTTAGCCCGGTTCGGTTGTGTCTGGCGCGGTTCGGTTCAGTTGCACTCCATTTACATCCAACAGCTAACTCTGTTATCATGCTCTAACCATTCTCAACATGGTTTCAAAAGGGAAGTGTAAATGGGGCTTATCTGTGTTATTAAAAATCTCTTAGTTAACGTGGCATTACTGTGTTTTCTAATGATACTGCCACTTGTGGCTAAAACAAAGAACTGCAGCACTCTTCTGCTCGTTGTCATAGATTGGCTCATACTTGACAAGGTTTTATTTTTTTTACCTTATGTAGAATTCCCATTGGTGCCTTAGTTGAGCTGGATGCTGTTCGCTTCTGAGTATCCACAAAATCCTTTTTAACTATTACGCTTCGATTGTTTACTAGGGAGAACTATTTCACTGGGCTTACAGTTATCAGCGCTGAACTACTGAGGTGTCAGTCTGCTTAATAAACCATGTTATAGTCGTAAAGGGCAAAAAGACAAGACTATTTCAAAGATATCTTTCTGTAAACACTTGAAAAGGTCTCTTAAGCGTTTGAGTTCCTTAAACAAAAACGATGTCCTGTATCCAAAACATGATACGTGCATCTATGTCTAGTTCTGCATCTTCAAAAAGTCTGTTTTAAAACCCCTTTTTATTTAAAGGGAAAACGCATTTCACACATTGCAGCTTTTCAAGTAATGCTAATTTTAAAAATGCATACAAAATGAAACAAATTCATAATTGCAACTATGAAGTATAACTGTGGCCTTAACATATGTGCATGTAATGTTCTTTACAAGAATGCACATAAACATAGAAATTGGATCTCAATAATGGACACAACATCCACAGTTTCATGTAAAGACAGCATCTTTTCTATCATAGAACGTTGTAAGATTGCACTTCACCGCAGTCTGTTCTGAATAAATAAAGCAGTGACAAAGAAATTTTTTTTATTAGCCTGTAGTATTCTTTCATGTCATGTCTCATTCCAGCTTGGGGGATTGTATAGAGCTTGAAAAGCAGCACATGGATTAAATTGATTGAGTAAATAGCACAACTTTTTCCTCTACTTTCTGTAGGTTGGGCAATGGACTGTGATCAATGACAGCTGTTTAACAGCTTGTTTCTAAGTCCATGTGGAAAAAGCTAACTATCAACCGAAGGGTTTTCTAAAAGCCTGACCAGCACAGTCACAGCTTAACTGTCCAAATAACTGTTTTCACAAAAGTTATTTGGCATCTTAGAATGTCATGTTTTTATATGCAACTAATGTACCAAAAACATTACACTTCTGATTGCTGCTTAAGTGTTATAACGTCAATGTTTGTCAACTGCTATCCAGAACTAAACATTTCTGCACTGCTGCATTTCAAATAGAATTCACATGTGTTGTGTTCCTCTGCTTCAAGGTTTGTACCTGAGAGGCTGTAACCTGGACAGACGGCGTGGTGCTCGGGGCAACAGGTCGTGGCGTAATTGCGCTTTGTGATTGGGCCTGAGCCTGCATTTGAGCCAAGGTCTGCTGGTGAATCATCAGAAGCTGCCCACTCTCACTGCGTACCAACACCATACCTGCAAAGTAAAGCAATAGCAGTCCTACTCATGACATAGGATAACTTTAAATCAACATAAATAAGCAATTCTAAAAGTTTTCAAAACATTAATCTATAAAAGAAGAGACCAGAAGTAGAAAAAAAGAAAACTTAACTGAGTAAGAATAAGAGATTGACTGAGAAATAGAATCGTGACAAAAAGAAATCTGAGAAATATTGCTCGGATGGGTTGTTATGGTGGAAAAGAATATTCAAGGTAACTCTTTTCAGGGAAAGCACAAAAATTGGAGCTACTAAAATGAAAGCTGCCATCTCTTCAGAAGCATATCGGTAAATATATAAGCATCAATAGACTGCAATAAAGTATTTCTGTGCCAGGAGGATGTATTAGTGATGGTGAGATGAAGCCTCATGAGGCATTGAACCATTTGGCCAAATTGCTTCAACGATCCCCACAGTTCATGAGGCTTCATGTGAACATGTCACCACCTACTGGTGGACAGCAGAACTACAGTTTGTAATAAAAAATTTTGATTTTTTTTTTGCAACTGTTTTTTCTTTTTTTCCCCTTTTAAGTTCCCTTGAAATTGTTAATGGTTGGTGTGTATAATAAATTTTTTATAAGTTTTTTTTTTAAGTGTAAAATTTCTTAGAGCAATCATTTAAGGTGCACAGTTTTTCTGCCATTTTATTGAAATAAACTCAAGCAGACAGTGAAAGTGTTTGTGCAACTTGGGCAATGATGAACAAAATGAACGGTGTTAGTCATTTTTATTCAAACATGATAGTTTTTCCATGTTTTTTTTATTTTAATCAGGTTGGAAGTTGTGTTCAACCAATCTTTTTACTAAACCGACCTAATTTTCCCAATCTATATTTTTACTCGGGCAAAACAATGCAGTTTAGTGTCATCAGCCAAAATAATTAAGTTTAATCGCAACGTTCAAAAGAGAGAGACAGGTCTTGAACCATCAACCTCTAGGGTGAGAGTCTGTCCCTTACAGAGGATGCCACTCATGTAGATGGTCTGTGGTGGGAGAAAATACTTCTTAAAACTGACGTATTAACACTGGCTTTGTCTGGTGGTTTGCTCAGATTTTGATCATTACATTGTTTATTCAAACCAAATTAGCTTTAAGCAACTAGATTGGTTGGAAAAACAACCAATTTATTCTTAGGATCTATCCAAACTTTTTCCAGCTGACAGCAGCTCTCCTCCAATCTCCCACATCTTGACTGAACATTGAAGCTGTTTAGAAGCCTGTCAAAATTCTTGCGCTTCCCGAACCACTTACCGAAGCGGTCACGTGGTATCACGGTAGCGAGGCCTCAGACGTCATCAATTTTGGCCCCTCCTCTAAATGAATCACGCCTCGACACGCGCATCGGGGAAACGCCCCCTCCATTACTCGACACACGCCTCGAAGCCTCGGCTCATCTCATAACATCACTAGGATGTATCTATTGCAAAGGTAGATCATTGAGTACCTTTGTTCTGGCTGGAGCCAGCTGCTATTCCATCCTTTTCCCCCCTATAAGATGTCTTAATCTACAATCCATGCAAGAAAATAAAAGCGTTGAACAGCAAACTAAAAGTTATTGGACATCTTACCTGGAGGGAGCTGGAAGTTTTGGACACCTGTGGTGTTTTGATTAGGCTGAGTGGCCCGAGGGGCCAACACCTGTGGAGCGATGGTCCGTGTTACCCCAGGCAGGCTGCCACCGATTGTTGGCGAAAATGTAGTTCTCATGTTTTGTAGCACAGTTGGACTCCTCATAGTGGAAGTCGTAGTTGTCAAAACACTTGAAGCAGGGACCTGAGCACCGGTTGGGGTTATAGTTTTAGAAGGTTCGGCTTTGCAGGAATCACTGAGGCTCCCTGATGACAGGACAGTGTTGGAAGTTTGTATCGGTGGCCTCACCAGCGCCACAGTGGGAACAGTTTTCACAGAACACTGAGATGAATCCCCAGAAGAGATCGCACTGTTTTGTGCATCAACAGAAGTTCGAATAATAAAACCAGGTGATGCAGAGGAGGGTCCGTTGACAGCAGCTGTCGGAGATCTGTCCGACTGTCCGCTTCCGGGGATGTGACAGTTCATCACCGCGCCGCTTTCATCCAAAGCTGGAGCGGCAGCCGCCGGTTGTTTGTCAGCTGTTGCATCTGATGCTGCTGTATGACTTTGCGCGGCTGTAGTGCTGTGTTCAGCCGCCGGTGTGATCCCAGCCGTCCCATCCATGCTGTAACCGTGGGAAACTCTCCGATCAGTTACTGACAGCTCCCGCAACTCCTGCCGCTACCGCAGCTCAAACATACGGCAACCAGGGATGTACCAAACAACTACCCAATTCTCTGTAGTATCGGGAGAGCGATAAGTCAAATAAAGTTTCCCGCAGTAAAGTTAAACAACCTGACTAAAACTAGCTACTCTCGGCTAATCAGTGAGCGTAGATGTCTTACCTGCTTAATATTGTAAAAATCCAGTTTTACTACTATTGAAACTACCGACTGTAGTTGGACCGCAGACGTGATTTGTTGCGAAATAAGCTGCAGACGTTGAATTAGTTCCAACTGCTCGAGTTAAGAAGATCTCCGGAGCTCTCACTGCCTCTCTGACTACTTTTTTGTCCTCCTCTCTGTTGAAGAAAACATCATCCAACAAATCGGAGCCCGCCGCCATCTTTGCCTGCCAACGCTAGTGCGTTGAACGCATGCGCCGATTGGACACGCCCTTCCACGACGTAATGCTTGTTAGGCATTTTGATTGGTTGGTTGAAGAAAATAAACTCCGAAGCAAGTTGTTTTTGTACTATTGGCATTTTCTCCACAGTCACTTTATGATTAGTACAACGAAAATAAGATGCAAACTTTACTAACATTGTGGAAACAGTTTGAATTCTTTTTTTCTTTTTTTTAAACGGCTGCTTTTAATTTATGTTCTTTTTCAAAGATTGTATGAATAACAAATGGTTTTATTCTTAAAATAATTACCACAACTTTCTTAAAGAATTTTGCAGGATTTTATTCATCATTTAATTAAGATACACTTCTTATCAGGAAAAATCTATCTTGCTCATTTATCCTTTGAAAAACAAATAAAAAAATCTACCTTGTAAGGTTGACATCATATCAGACTGGATGAGGCAACTGCTGACATAAGTTGGCGTAATTTGCTCATGGGCAGATTTTAAGTATTCCTTTTAGATCTGTTTCACAAAACCAAGATAAGGGATTAAGCTAGGGATTTTACAGACATCCTTAATTAAACCTAGACTTGGCTTCACAGAAGCATTAACTTAAATTATTAAGTGAAGTTAGCCTGCTCCAGACCAGGGAAACAGACAGGCTTAGGTAATCCTGGAGCCTGATCTGCTCAGTCAGCATATCAACAAGTTTTGCCAACCTACATTAAAATTACTGCTTCTATTTAGTTGAGTAGTTTGATTATTTAACATCATATTTGGACATCGTTACTGCTCAATTGTGTTTTTGAAGGCTCTTCTAAATTTCACACCTTTAATTGACTAATGCATGTATTGAGGAGAGAATTTAAGTTATAGAAGAAAAAGGGGTTTTCCTTAAAGTCATGCTGGAACAAAAGCTCCAAACATGTGCCTTCTTTTACAACGGCATCTTCATTGTTGAATTTTTCCCAAAATTTACCATCAGAACCTGAGTTAACCTGTGTAACCTTAACCTGACAACAGCCAGATGCATGTCTCGCTCCGCCTAGCTCCGCTCAGTGTGAGTGGAGCTAGGCGGAGCGAGACATGCATCTGGCTGTTGTCAGGTTAGTGTAACCTGTCCATAATATTTAAACTATAATCTATAATCAGTTTATGTCTCAGTGTAAGTTAGAGAGCCCAGTCAGTGATTACATTTGTACCACTTGTTTATATATATATATATATATATATATATATACATACATACACAAACCTGAGTCTCTTTAGATGTGCTGTCTTTGTCATTCGTGATACAGTCTTAGACTTTTATGGAACTTGATGTGAAAATTATGTATTAAAGATTTCTTTCGAGGAGCACTATGTCAGACTTCTTAACTGTGAGCTTTTATTTAGAAGAGTAGGGATTGGAAAGTGGACATAATAAAGTGGAGGTAATAAAACATACAATAGAATAAAAAAGTCTCTGCCCACTTTTTTAAGTGTTTTAGAACACCAAACAAACAAATTAAAATATTAGTCAAAGAAAGCACCAGCCAACACAAAATGCAGTTTTTAAAGGATTATTATATTATTAAGGTAGAAAAGAAATCCAATCTTATCAAACTCACTTTTTAAAACCTATGTTTATATATAAAATGTACCTTTTTCAAGAGTACTCATGAGAATTAAAGTGATTATTCATTTTCAGTGCTAACTATTTCAATTATTATAAATTACAGTTGTTTTTATAAAACACTAGTAAAACGCTCTCAAGAGGCTGTGGTTTGTTTCATTAGAAAACATTCAATTTAATTCAGTTTATTTATATACTGTAGCCCCTCTTCACAACACATGTCATATCAAGGCACTTTACAGAGACAATTCAACCAGATCATATAGTCAGACTGGTTCAAAGTCCCTGGGGGCTTGACCTGGGAGGACATAGTTCTTGGATCTATGTCCGAAGGGTCATCTTATATGGCATTAAAGGTTCCTGTAGAACACCATCTTCTCTCCAGTTTCCTAGCATCTTGCTAAAGTGTGCAGCTCTGCATTAAACCAGGGAGCAAGCTTTCTATTTTTTAAGTTTTTCTTTTTAAAAGGGGCTACATTGTCTAAGGCAGTTCGCAGAGAACTAACAACCCTATCAGCAAAATCATCAAACTGTGAAGGGCAATAAACTAAACTTGTTTCCTCTACAGCACTACTCAGTAACACAAAGGAGAGAGAAAGTGAAACAGCTACTTAAAAATGTATAACTGCATTGTCTGATAATGATCTGCTAAAGTGAAACCTTCTTTAGGGGGAGAAGAACTCTGTTAAAGTAATTCTGAAGGTAATTAAAAATGGTCAGAGAAGACAGGGTTATGAGGAAATACTGTTATTTCTTCACATTCATTGCCATATGTCAGCACAAGGTCCAAAGTCAGAATGGATGTTAAATACCCCCACTATGATGACCCTGTTAGTATTCAACACCAAATCAGATACAAACTCTGAAAACTCATCAAACAATTTCAGAGTAAGGACCTAAGTTACAAAAAGAAGAGGTTTTCTTGCTTTGGAATTTGGATGATGGAAGTTTTCAAAAGAGTTGTAACTTTGGAGTAATCAGTAAGTCAGACTGAAAGGTGTTGCTACTCCCCCTACTGGCTCAGAATTTCTAGGAATGTGAAAATTTAAATAACTATAGGGAGTTGTCTCATTTATGCCTACATAGCGTAATCCTCTTGCTGCAGCCAAGTTTCTGTAAGGCAACATAAATCAATTTGATTATCACATATCAAGTCATTAACTAGCAGACTTTTTGAGGAAAGAAATCTTATGTTAAATAAACCACATTTAATCATTTTAACTTTTTCCCCAATTGGAGTTATTTTAATTTTAATTAGATTATCAAAATTTACTCTTTTGGGAATCTTTGCTAATTTATTAGATTTTTTTCATAGACAAGACACTGTCGGGATGGAGTAATGAGTAGGTAACAGTAGAGAAGCTGCAGAGAGATGTGTTAAACTATGACTCTTTTTCCTGGTCTTCACCCTGGGCTGTCTGCATTTTAGAGGACTAATAAATTTGACCAGATTCCTAGAAAGAAGAGCTGAACCCTCCAAAGTGGGATTTGATGCCGTCTCTCCGAATCAGACCAGGCTTTCCCCAAAAAGATTGCCAATTATGAATATAGCCTACGTTGTTTTCAGGAAACCGCCTGGACAACCAGCGGTTGAATGACGACATGTCATCACTGATTAGATCAGGGAGGGGACCAGAGAACATTATGGAGTCTGACATTGTTTTGTCAAAATTACACACTAAAGAAACACTAATTTTAGTGACCTCTGATCAGCATAACCGGGTGTCATAGCCAGCAGTTTCAGATGGGATTTGATGTTTCCCATTCTGGCCCCCGGCAAACATTTGACTATGGTCCCTGGTGTCGTTATTGCCACGTTTCTGAATATGGAGCTGCCAATTACCAGAGTGGACTTCCCAGTGGGGGCATCACTGAACAGGGAAATGATTACTCATAGTTAAATTAAAGAGTGACCAACATTGTCTAATTGTGTGTGTTGCCCCTACCTAGCTGAGGCTTTTATCAGTTCCGACCTATGAAGGACCTATGTGACATAGTGTTTGCACAAACTATCTAGTATTTCTCCACTAACTACCTTCTATAGCTCAAACAGCAGGTAGCTCAATCTAAGTAGACAGCATTATTTCAATATACTAAAGCGACTTTGTGATGCTCTGAAAAATACAGGAACAAAAAGTAAACAGGGTGACCACAGGCAATGTTATCTAATGTCCTGTCCTTTCCATCTAACCACCAAAAGTATTTATCCACTTTGAAGACTGTCTAGAAAAACTAAGTTAATTTATAAATTTTTCTTAGCTTTTTAAAAATAATGTTTTTAAATTGCAACTAGACACCATAATCTTATTTACAGTACATTGTCAGCTACATATGACATAACCTAAAACTATGATATACATACATGTTTGTTGATTATTATCTGATTTTATTGCTTCAAATATTCCATTAATTGCATTGACATCACAGCTTTTATGTCTTACATAAAAAGGGGAGTTTTGAACACTATTCAAGGGATAAGTACCCAAACAAATTGAATCTATGAAATATTGTTGAATGAAAACGGCTGTCCTCACTGTGAAAGGTACTCCTCCCACTCCTCATTGCATTGACTTCCAACCAGGTCATTCTCCGGCTGCCTGTAAAGGAATGCACCCACTGAGGTGGTGCTGTGATTGCCGTGGTACAAACAGGTGAGTTAAATTCAATCAGCTGGTGTGTTCCCAATACACCTCCAAATGCTTATAAGGTGTCTAAGAAAAATCTGAGTAGTGTGTTGTGAGTCAGTAAAAAAACTTGGAGCATCTGTCTTAAATGTTATTCAGCCATGGCTTCTACAAAGCCATATATTGGCTGTAAAATAGGGTTGCTTTCAAAGGCTCAAAATCGTTATGAAGGGATTTTATACACAATAGATAAAAATAACTCCACTATTGTGCTGGCAAAAGGTGAGTATAATATATTACGTGACAAGATGTGTCAGTAATACTCTGAGGCTTTGAGAGATTGAGAGAAAAAAAAAAAATGTTTGTGAACAGTAAAGTGTTTTGGAACTGAGGGACGTCCTACTGACAGACCAACACCACCCAAAGATGATGTCTATGAGTACATCACTTTCCGAGGAAGTGACATCAAGGATATTACTTTGTGCGAATCCCCAATGTGTCACCATGGCCTACCACCAGACCCAGCAATCATTCAAGTACAGTAGGAAAAACATGCATCATTCAATTCCATGTCAAGATTGTGAAAATTTTTTTTTATTTTACTTATTTTTCAGTCATCCAGTTCAAGCTCTGGCATCTACACAAATTTTGGCCCTTTTAGCCCAGTAAGGATGCCCATCTGTAATCCACTTTCTGCAAGCTCCTTTCTTAGCCAACAGTATGCTGCTGCTCTTGGCGTGGGCAAGTATTCCTGCAATTTCATGTGATGTAAATTAACCTTAAACACAACCCAGGTGTTTGATTGTTTTTTTTGTTTGTCAAATAGGGCCTGTACTTCCAGATCTGCATTTTAGACGGGGTCCCATGGTAGAGAAGGCTGTTCAAACAATCAAAGTAGAAGGGCAGAGAAGGGGTTTGATTGCCTCACAGGACAGGCAGTGGAATAGAAGGCCCCCGAGGACCAGGAGAGAAAATTCCCAGCCTCAAAGAGAGCCTGGGCCTACCAGTAAGTATCTGGTGATACTTCAGCTACATTAAAACAAATGGCCTGAATTTCTAAATTATCTGTTCAATTGTGCAAGATTTTTATTTTTTCCCCCCCAAGGCAGTTCTGGTTCTGGTGTGAGCTCTAATCGTCAGGGTTCACAGCGGCAAAACGTTGACCGCCCACCACCCAGAAGAAAACAAGGTAAATTTAAGATCTGAAAGGTCAAAACTTTAATGTTCTGTACAGGATTAATATCATGCATTTCATTGAAATGTTCTTAGCTCCTCAAAGACGTCGGAGCAGTGGTAGAGCGCAGCTGATGGTGGCTAATGTTCCATCTCCTATACTGAAGTTTGATACAGACTTTGACTTTGATTCCGCCAATGCACAGTTCATTAAAGAAGTTGAGAGGGAGGTGCAAGAAAGAAGAAATCTAAAGGGTGGGTTTCTGTGGCTGTTTATATTTCTTAACTTGTTGGAATGGTGTAAGGTCAATTTCCCATAAATATGCTACTATGTGGGGGAGTAAAAGGCATTTGTGGGAAGTAGTCCACTGATCCCCAATGGGTTGGGTGCAGGAATAGGGCTAGAGTGTGGAGTTGGGTATGTATTGTTACTGGTAAGGGTCTGGACCAGAGATAAACTGATACATTGGCCAACCAATGTATTTTTTTGTTTTGTGTTTTTTATTTTATTTTATTTTTTTAAATAAATGCTTGGGCTTATGCATAGATGCATTAGGCAGCCACGCCTTAAGAGCTTGTGGATTGCATGTACTGTCAATTTAAAATCTTAATTGTTTTGGAATAAATTGAGACTTGTTCAAAAGTATTGGCACCAACTATGAAGGATCTGTTTGAGTTTTTAATGCATCAGTTGATCTCAAGTCTGGATTAGGGCCTAAAAATAAATGCAAAGTTTCTGTTAGGACTTTTTTTGTGTTGTGGTTTTTTTTTTTTTTTTTTTTTCTTTAAGTTTAGAATGACTTTGCTGCTCCAAAGAAAATCATTTATATAGATAGATATATGTAGATAGTCATTCAGGAATTATCAAGCCACATTTGTCAAGAGGTGCATGTATGTTTTTGGACTTCTGGTAAAATTAGATTCTTTTTGCTGAATACACTAGAACCCATAAGTCATTTTCAAAGATTAAACAAATGATGACACAAGCAGACCGTATTAATCAATGTTGGTCCACTTGATCGCTTCTATCTGCTTCCGTAATTTTCTTGTTCTTTGATTCAGATATTGGGAATGCAAAAGAGAGGATGTGCTCAGCAGAGTATGAGGACTTCGGACCAAAGTGCTACTATGACAAAGCAAAGTCTTTTTTTGATAATGTGTCTTCGGATACTGGGCTTAGGTAAACTGTTCTTAGAAAATTAGACCTTTTTCAGTCTTCAGTAAAGATTTTGGAGTTTACCTCTTGTTCCCCAAATTTCAGATTATCATGGGCAGAAGAACGAAAGCGCAATTTGGAGACTTTTGGGGTCACTGGTCGATTCTTGAGAGGTCAAGGCTTTAGAGGTAGATTTACAAGGAGCAGAGGACGAGGAGCTGCTCAAATTCTCCCTTCAGAAAGGATCCACCAAAGAAGACTGTGAAGACCTGGAATATGAGTTTGTGTGTGTTTTTTTTTTTTTTTTCTTTTTTGTAGAAAATATAGATGAAGACAGTTTAAGGCTCTTCATTTCAATTTAATTGGTTTTGTCCAGTGGTTTGACTGGTTTTGAAATATTTTGCTCTTTAATTTCAAAATCCTGTAAATCTACAGTTAAAATAAACTTAAATATGTATTTAAAATCTTGAGGTGCCTTATTTCCAACATTGATGCTTTGATTTAATTGTTGCTACTGAGCCTACTTTATTACATCTCATTGTCATGGTTGCTGTTGTATGCAAGATTGTGTGGATGTTTTGAAGTGGGAATGGCCTGCTCCACCTCTTATAGTTTTAGCAGGCTATTGTGGCATCATCAGAACATATTTGGAAGCGTTTTGCTGTATTGCACATCCTTAAGTTTAGCTTGCAAGGAAGTCTAGAATCTAATAGAAAAGGTGATGGTCTACTGTCTCAGCATTTTGTGTTGGTTGGTATTGAGGGCACTGGAGGAAATTAATGCGTGTGGTGGTCTCCAGGTGAAAGATCAAGGAGATTGCTGAACGCAAGGTCTGCGGCTTGGTGTTGTAACAATTTAAAGTAATTTTGCATTAAAATCATTCTGCAGGTTATACCAAGTGGTTCTCGGTTATTGTGAATTAAAAAGCTTATTTTTAACACAAATGGCCTACATTTAGTAACTCCATGTCAGCGCTCTAATTAAAAGCTTGCAAAACCCATCTCCCTGTGATGTCGGAGAGCACTTTTGGTGCCAGCACAATGTTTTGTAATGGAGATGGATGGAAACATTAATGGTGGTTCCAGACCATGTTTGAAATTCCTTTGTGTGGCTGGACTGTCGGCCAGTTCAAGCTCAGGAGAGGGAAGTGAGGAATATGAAGGCATCCAGTTTAAATCTACAGGTTCTGACTCTGAACCTATTAAAACCTTGAACTTTATTGATCTAACATTGGGGAAATTTACTTCTGCATTTAACCTATTCCCTTGGGGAGCAGTGGGCTGCTATTGTTGCACCTGGGAAGTAGTGTGGGGTTAAGGGCCTTGCTCAGAGACCAGAGTGGCAGTCTGTGGGAGAGGGGCTTGAATTCAGAACCTCTGGATTCCAAGCTTAATGCCCTATTCAGTAGGCCCCCATGCCTCATCAACTAACATCTATTACAGGAAGCAAAGCAACGTTATTGCCACAAAGCAGAAACCTAACAGCTTTGGAACAGCACCAATCTATGATCAAAGCACCACATCAATCTTTTTTATTTTTCCTACCTCAACATCTCTGCTTAGATGTGGAAGCACTGGGAGCGACATTAGCAAGTTAAGTGTCTGGCTCACTTAGCATTTTACTGAAAAACAAGTCTTTCAATGAGGGAACAAAATTAAACATACTCAAATGTTTCAAGCGCTCATTTTCTGTCCATCACTGAGAAGCGCTATAGTGTCCTCTGGTAGTGTTTTTATGGAAACTCGTGCGGATATCTTTCAAATTATTACATAGATCACTGTTTTGGTCTACAAAAAATACTAGAAAAGGTCTACCATGTCATAAACACTAACAGTCTTAATCAGGTTGGATGCCTTTCTCAGTTTTCTCCCTACTTAAATGGCTAAGTTGGGAGGAAATATGAGGTTAAGTGAAAACTTGAGGAACTGAATGCTAAATTATCTGTATGCTATTATATATTCATATTGTATTCATGTACAGTAGATTGTTTATTTTTAGACTTAGACCATTTTTATTGTAATTTTGTATACAAAACGAAATGTTTTGTACAGCTTTCAGACAGTGGATGAGCAGCAGCTTAGCAGCAAAACATTAACATTTTCGTTTCATAAATTGCCGTGATCAAATAACATTGTGCAGAAACACATTGGTATGGAAGTTCAGAGCATTTCAATGCAAATATATACAGGGCAAATATGCAGTGTTTTCATTTGGTAGTATGATCTGTGTGGTGCAGAGTCTGTGACTTAATTTTGAGTTTTTTTTCAGCAGCCTGACAGCAGTAGGGAAGAAGCTGATGCAGAAATGCAAGACTGTAATGAGTTAAATGTACCTTTCTGAGATTGAAATATGTTGCAATACACCTTAACAGTTTTTAACACCCCTTTGTCAAAAAGTATTTCATATCAATAAAAAATGTGATTTGAAAGCAAACAAAACAAGAGACTTGCTGGCAGCAGTAATACACTCGTGGAATATTCAAAAAATTTTTATACATTAATAATTACTTGAGAACAAAAACACTTAATTATGCACATCAATGTAAGAATATTAAAGACGATAAGTACAGAATTCATGCTCTTTTCAGAACTAGATTCTATGTTATATGGGGCAGAGAGAAAAAGATGTGGTTCTGCGAGTCATCTAGGACTTTTCAGTGAAATCATAGATAACTATTTTAGTAAAAACATATTTAATAATCAATTTATGTAGATAAAAGTACTTGTCAATATCAATTTTATGCATAATGATTATTGATAAAGGTGACGATGGAAAAGATGTTCGACCCAGAACTCTAACCTGAAAGAATTTTCACTATAACTTTAATCTAGAAAGCACGGATGTTGAAATATATGCGTCTATTTGTTAAGAAAGGCTGTAGGAAGTATAGTTAGTCTTTATTTAGCGAATATGGAAGTTGTGCTCAATTTTCCTGTTGGAACAGTGCAGATTGACCCTGAGGTTCTGGCACCTATCCACTTCCGGACCCCCCTCAGTGTATATTGGTTAATGCCTGGCCACCCTTATAAAAATTTTCCTCTGTAGCCGTGTTAAAAAAAAAAAACCCTTCATGTTTAAGTACAATCAAAATATACATAACATATCTCTTAAAAAACAGCTAAAAGCAACTTTCAGTTAAGGTCTTTGGTGTGAAGGTAGAGAGCGCATGTCGCTCAGCATATGAATCAAAGGATGCTCCATCCACTCCAGCATCAGGACCAGAATATGGGTTGTACCAACGAAGGAGGGGGAGCGATCTTCCCCGGACCTTATGTTCTACACCTTGTTCTTATCTAAACTCGAAGGATAAACAAGGGTTTCAGCAAAGTGTTTTCATTTCAGACAAATGATGAGCTTTAAAATGTCCCTCAAATGCTAAATTCAATCATAGTTTTGCCAACCCCTCCCCCTTTTTTATTCTAGTTGTGAAGAAACCAAGTAACCAAATAGAAGGCTGTGCTCTAGATAACAAATAATATAAAAAAGGAGCGCCTTTATTTCCCTTATGACAAAATGTCAGTGGCGTTTTCTTCAGCGCGTCCCAGGAGTAAAAGCGAGGTGACGCAACAAGCCATCCAGAAGGTAAAATAAAGAGACAAAACAATATAATTTTATCACTGTGCGTAAGGGTGTGAGAGGTAACCTCAGAGGAAGTAGAGCCTGAAGTGAATATCAAAATAATCGCAGCTGGTAGCGCGGCTGTATGTTGGTGTCCTCTGAAGATGCCATCCAAACAAAGCGCTCAGCGGGAGCTCTGCTCTGCTCATCATGAACACCTGCTGTTCTTTCAGCGCTGGGATTCTGAATTTAGCTTCAGCTATACAGCAAATAATGTGGTCAAATTCGCAGAGTTTGATAGGATGGAACTCATCTGCTGCTACTAGACTTTGGTTATAGTGTTTAAGTTGGACAAAAGCCTGTTAAAATCAGAGAGTATCTGGAGAGCAACGCAAACAAAGCTATTTATCCTTAACAGAAACAACGCAGCTTAGTGCTAAGTGTTGATAAATGTCCCAAATTTGTTCAACTTCAGTTAAATCCATGAGAATCCAAGGAGACCCTATTTATATAGAATAATATTTCAACACATCAACTTAAAGGCTCTTTAATTTATTTGAACGTTATTGATATCACATTGGAGAAATTTAACTCTGCATTTAAAGGGGAACACCGTTTTTTTTTACACTGGGCCCTTGATTTTATGTTATTACATCATGTTCTACTCACCCATATGTGTTTTGTGTAATTTGGAGCTTTTCCGAAGATATTCGGTTTTGTTATATCTAAGTAACGTATTTTTATGGGCAACGAGTTGAAGGCACAAACTAAACTGTTCATAATTAATTCTTTATGGTACGCCAGCATTCATGACATGTAGGCGTACCATAAATGATAAATTATCAACCGTTTAGTTTGTGCCTTCAAGTCGTTTGCCCATAGGAAGACGTTACTTGGATATAACCGAACCGAGTATTTTCAGAACAGCTCTAAATAACACAAAACTCATATTGGTGAGTAGAATGTGATGTAATAACGTAAAATCAAGAGCCAAATGTAAAAAAAACAACAACATTCCCCTTTAACCTGTCCCCTTAGGGAACAGTTGGTCCGATTAATTTGCTGTCATAATATCTTCCTATTTATTATAAAAAGAAAATATAAAGGTTAATCTTAAGACTAATTCAGTTTTAACCAGAGATTAGACAGGTTTGTTTCCCACAGATTTATGTATTTCTAGGGCAAATCAGTGGATTGCATGATTATGACTTGCAGGTACAGTGTGCTACAACTATACAATCACCTAGAAGATTTCCTGACTTTACTAAAATGGAATGGTCCAAACAAAGTGCTATATCAGACCATATTTATTGAAAGTTAATTTAATGGAAAAATATTGTTAAAAGAAGCAGCACTACTCTATTATTTTGTCGGATTGCAGCCGGTGTTTCATATAAACAGGCTCATAAGTAAACTAGGAGGAAGGAAATAGTTTAAATAAAAAAAATAAAAAAAATATTTATCTAATTATTTTGCTCCTGAGAAAGGAAGTGACAGAGTGGGATTTACTATAGAATCTTTATCTTGGATAGAAATAAACACAGATAACCACTAAGCCCCAATGGCATCCACTGGTTGAAAAACAGAGAGGTTAATGTGCAAAGAAAGAGGCAAAGCCTTTGTGTTCAACTTTTCAAGCGCTTTAATTGCTAAATATGGTTTGAGGTTGTTTATGTCTCCTGCAGATGTTGGATGAAAATCATCAATTAATACAATGTATAATGGATTGCCAAAGCAAAGGGAAGACAGTTGAGTGCACACAGTAAGTGATCTTTGTTGTTGTTTTTAAATAAGTGAAAAACCTTCCGAAGATCATGGAAATTTCAGCAGAATTTCAACTTTTCCAGGTATCAGCAGATCCTGCACAGGAATCTTGTTTACTTGGCCACAATAGCTGATTCTAATCAGAACATGCAGTCACTACTACCGGCTGTAAGTTTGTCTGTCATGTAGTTTCCAGGGGCATGCAGCAGAGTTGATCAATCCTATAGTGCACCAATAATGCACCAATCCATAAGTCAACAACTTCATGACGAAGGAAAAAAAAGCAGTGAAATTAATTATGCAACATTTCTTATTTGTAGCCTCCTAGTTCCAATATATCCATGGATCCTGGAAGAATGAGCCAGAGTGGGGGACATGCTTCAAGCAGCCTCAATGACAACATGGCCCCATACATGATACAGAGCCAAATGAGTAACGGTTGGTAACGAGTGTGGATATTACAGAAAAATGTTGTGCCTTGCAGCAGTTCCACTAAAATACTCAGATGTGGCAAACTACCACACCAGTTTTTAATCAGCCCTTTGCCTGTTTTGTATTAGAGATGCCTAGATCCTTTACCTGGATCAGAGATCTGCTCCGATATTGACTAATTAGCTGGATCAGATATCGGTATTTGATATCGATCTGATATACTTGAGATGGAACCGTCATTTCTTTCTCTTTGCTTTTTATTTGTTTAATGATATAAAGTATATTTATATCTGTTTTAATCTGATACCTTTTTTTAAACCAATGTTTATGTCAAGACTAAGGCCTTTACTCTCATGGCAAGGTATATGGTCCATTCATTCAACAGCTGAACTGGATCTGTCAGGTATCGGCCGAAATGCTCAGCTCAGGTATCGTTATGTGATTGGATTGGAAAAAAGTGGATCAGTTCATCTCTTTTTGTATTCATCTCACTGTGACGGTGCTGCAGGTTGCCACTTCCTGTCTCTATGTGGGCTTATCTCTAATCTGAATCCTTGCAGACTTCTTTTGAAATCTGAATCCTTGCAAACAGCTTTAGGCCTATTCTGATTATCATTTTTGTTTTTTTGTTTTTTTTGCAACAATATCAATTTCTGCTTTTGTTTTTCCATATTTTTTTTTACACTGAACTACACTTAATATTCTTTAGCGTCCTGAACTTTCTTTTGTGAAGAACTGAATGTGGAACTCTGATGTTACAGCATGGCGTCTTATGAAAACATACACCTGCCTCTTCCCAATGTGTGTGTGTCGTTAGGCCCCAGCCATGCCCCCATGCAGTCAGGTCACATGCAGTCAGCTATTACTTCCGCCAGCAGCAACACTAGCTCAGTGTCCAAAACATGTCTCCAAAGAGATTCTACTTTTATGACAACTGCTTTGGACCCTCTCTGTCCTTCCCTGTGTTTGGCATGCAATGGAAGACAAAAATGTTTATTTCTGCTTTTAGATCACTAGAAAAAAATGAATACTATGTTATGAATATTCATTTCTGGACAGACTTTAATGTTTGAGATTATTCCCTCACTACATTCCCAGTCTCCATGATGCACCAACAATCTGCTCCTCCACAACACTCCTCAGCCAATTCAGGGAGGCGGCACTATCAGGGACAGCAATCGATGAGTATGATGGGACAGACCAACCAGGGAAATAACACAATACCTCAGAGACCCATGGGGCCCTACCGGCCCTCCCAGCAAGGTAAGTGGGCTTATGTTAAAGAGATAAATATATATATATATATATATATATATATATATATATATATATATATATATATATATATATATATATATATATATATATATATATATATATGTATATGTGTATATGTATATATGTATATATTTATATGTATATATATATATATATATATATAAACTCACCAATTTCTAAGAAAATAATGCAAAATGTGCAAGTTGAAGGTTGAAAACATAAAGTAACCCCTCAGTGCTCTAAATGATCACTTCAGAGGTTTAAAAACAGCAAATGGTGTGTTTTCTACATCTTCAAAAATCTTTCCTCGCTGTATCTGCTTATCAGATAAGGGAAAACCTACAGCATATTGCAGCTTTGTTTGGCTCAAAGCATCCTTTTGAAATGTGTGGCCAATAAGCTCATAGTCTAAAATAAACATATGACTCTTTTATGTAGATAGGATTGGATTAAAAGCAGTTTTATAATCAAATTTGATCTTTATAGGGCAAGTTACACTTGCTGAATTTCTTATTGAAAAACTTTGTTAGTTTTCTAAATATATTTAGGCAAGTGTTCGTTTCTTGTTATTAGATCGACATTAATTTTTAATCAAGATATCCATATTTTTTGAATGTTACAAATGTATTAAGGTCTTGTCCTGAATTTCAATAACACTATTGGCTTGAAATTTTGATTTTCAAAGTATTTTACTGAATGCCCTATAAAGGCTTAAAAAAAGGGCAAGAAAACTTAAATAAACCCACTGTTTGCTATATTTTCCAATGCTTTATTTTGTTTTCAAAGTAACAGTTTGCTTGATCACAACAACTTTGTCCCTTAAATGAAACATACAGCTCTCCATCATTACAATAATTAGAAGTTAACCTGAACCTGAACAAACTGAGCAGACTGAGAGAGGAGCTCACAGACTTATTTACTTGTATGAGTGACACCATTAGAGATATTCTCTAGTAACACATTTTTTTCAACTGCATCAGCATGTCATTAATTCAACCACTGCTCCTGTGATCTCTTGTCAGTACTCTACTAGTAGTAGACATTCATGAAACAAACATTTAAGGCAGACAGGTTATTTGCACAGACTCTCATATACTCCAGCATCCTTTTATCCATGCATGATTAAGCAAAGTCCTGTGTTGTTTATTAGTTAATCTTTGCAGCTCTTATTCTTTCACTGATTGAATAGTGGGCTCTTGCAAGGTTTGAGAATCTTCTGAAAATCTTGCTTGTAGCTCAATGGAAATATGTTTTGGTGGTTGAATTGATCAGACATGTGCTTTAATTAGGATAATTTGATCTGCATTGGTTTCTTTTTTTTGTTAGTTTGCTGTTTCCTTGATGGGTAAAACATAAATGGGATCTTTTGTTTCTGCACACCACCAAATAAAAAGGGAATCACCTCAGAAAAAGTGTAGACCGAGGTTAATGTCAAACAAATGGAAAAACCTTTGCATTGAGTTTCATTTTCCTAGCTAATAATGGAAAGTTTAACTTAATAAAATGCAAATATAAGTAGAAAAGGAACAATTTACCTTTATTAGCAATCTTAGAGGTTATCTCAGTGGCCTATTAGCCTGAAGGTTTTAATAAGGCCTGTTTCGCCTATTTTACAGGATCTGCACAACACTACATGGGACAGGAAGAGTTCTACGGAGAGCAGTATGGACACACTCAGAACTCCACCGAGCTCACAAACCAGCAGTATTACACTGATGGTAAAAATTTAATAACCTAATGTCTAAAGCACATAAAACACCCAACTACATGCCACGCCCTTCCAGTAAAATTCAACAAACCTTAGACAATTTTGTAAATTAGCATGTCTGTGTCCATACTGATACTCCAGCTGTGGTGTGTCACAAATTTCAATATTTAACCATTCCCATGTTATATGACACAGTTAAAGAAGTGTCAACTCTGCACTATATTTTGCTGTTCATATTAGAAATGAGATCCCTTCAAAAATATCAATGGTCAAATTTGCCATGATTGAAATATTTCTTGCTGAATTATTTTTCATCAATGTCCAGATTCATAGTTTAATCTAATTTGATGAAATACATATATTGATAAGTACTGTAACTTGATTTATAGTTTATAAAATGTTTTCATTATTTATAAAATTTATTTTTATAAAATATAATATAGAAATGACTAGATAACATTTTTCAATAATTAAATATGTCAGATATTATTTTAGTACTTATTTTGTTGTTTCACTGTATTTCAGAGTGAAGTCAGATGATGTTGCAAAAACAGATTTTCTGCATTTTGTTTGGCTTATCGTTAGTCTTAGGAAGAAATTATATGTGACAAATTTTCCAATTTTTTAAACTCTGGTACCTTTGCCCATTGAGAGATTCCTTTTTGCTTCTCATGTGTTTTTTATATTTGTTATGTGGTTTGATTTAGAATAGTAAAATTATTATTTTCTGTGTACCTGCAGCTTGTGTTAGACTGAGTAGATTTGACATGTGCTGAATCATGTTTTCCACACACAGATTATTCATATCATCACTCTTCATACGGTGAACAAGGTTACGAGAGGTCGTTTGGTGAGTCTTCACAGCACTACTATGAAGGAGGTAACCTTAAATCAAACTTTTTTAATTTTTCAAAAGATTTTAATAATTATTATGATTATTTGAAACTCCCTTTGAAGAGTAATACATAATACATAATGATGTATATAAGATGCATATGAACAGATATGTTAATTGATGCAAAGTTATGATGCAATCGGTTTTAAAGACTAAAAATAGTTCATTGCAGCTGCCCTTACAGGTAACTCTCAGTACAGCCAACAGCAGGGCTCATATCAACAGAGCACTGGTCAGCAGCAGGCTTTCAGTCAAGAGCAGTACTCCTCTCAGCAGGGCTACAGCGGGCAGCCACAAGGATATGGTGAGCATTTTTATACTATGTCAAAAGCTGTATCTAAGTATTTTGTCTGTAGCTGAGGAAGGCCAGCTCTGTGATTGGATGCCCTCTGGACTCATTTCTGTTGGACAACGTTTCCCATCCCATGCATGAAGCTGTTGCTGAACTGGAGAGCTCCTTTAGTGATAGATTGCTGCACCCTAAATGCACCAGGGAGCGTTATCACAGATTTATAACCAATGTTGTTCCCAGTGACCTCGATAAGTTTTTACATTGATGCTGATTTTTGCAGTTTTTCTTTTAGTTAGTTAAATAAAATACTTCTGTCATTTCTTTTTTTTTTTTATCTTTAGTGTTGCTGCTATTTTTCAAATATCCATTACTTTAAACATGTCTGCTGTTATTAATTTTATTTTTATTCTCCTAAAACAGAGTGTTTATATAGTGAAAACATTGTAGAGTACAATACTCTATTTGTTTTATTTATTTTCCTTTCTGTTATTTTATACACTTTTCTAAGGTGCACATTGTGTGACCACTTCTACTATAACCTTTGCTGCTGTAAACACCACAATTTTCCCAATTGTGGGACAATGAAGGGATTCTACATTCTATTCTAAAACATAAACACAGGTCCCCAAAATGAAAATGTTTAATAAGCCTAATCTCCATTACAGGTCCTAGCCAGGGAGGACCATCCCAGTTTTCCCAGTATCAGCAGAGCCAGAACCAACAGTATGGATCTTATCATTCTTCCCAAGGAGGACCTGCAGGACAAACCCAAAGGTCTTTCACCTATGAACAGGTAACAAGTAAAAAAACCTTAAAAAAAAGATATATATATATATATATATTGCTTTGCTAAAACTATTCCCCACCAATCTAACTTCTTGAACTGAGGTGTTTTTTTTAAATCACTTCCACTTCCTCTGTGTTGACAGTCCATCACTTAGGAATGCAGACTGCTATTATAAAAATCTTTTTTAGCAGATGGGTTGCTCTCTAAGAGAATTTCTGTGTGGTTTCTCTATAGGAAGGTGCCTGTATAAACAGCATTTTATGTCATCATGCATTTTCTGACTAAATATTCCACTGTCATTTGTAAGAAATATTACAACAAAGGGAATGGAAAAGACCAAATCATAGAGTTGGGCCAGCACGTGTTGAGATTATTACTGCTCTGAAGTTGCCAACATTAAGAAAAGTAAATGGGTGTGGAGAAACAAACTTGATAAAGCCTTAAAATTAGCTCGAAAGCATTGTGTAGAGCATCTTATTGCATGGATTCTCATCACTGAGAGGCCGTATCCGAAGCTACTGCATTCCCAATTATAAGAAATGCATTGAATGCTATAGTGTTTAGTATGCCTCCAATGGATGTTATTTTAAGTTGTCGACAGTATTATAATCACATCACAACAAGATGAGGACAGGTAAAACAGAGCACAATTATTTACAGTGTGTTTTTGTGGAGCAGTGACTGCTGTACTGGAGAGTATTTCTATAAGTGAGTAGTCAAGTCCTGGATAATACTGTGAGAGTCGGATCAAATGCAACATGAGTGTTTAGACTGCAGATGCTTTGAAAACTATTGGATAGGTATCAGATTTAGTACCACATATAGAACTGGCGCAAGTCTTATTCTGGAGGTGAAAAGATTGGAATTTGGCCATTCTGCTATGAAAAAGTTGGACAAGAGTCACATATGCAACAAAAAAAACCTTATTAGTTACCACAGCGTTTTATTTACCTCAGGGGCCAATAAGTATTTGGAATTGAATTGAGCTTATGTTTAAGTATAAACCCTGCCAAAATGTAAAAAAGCAATGCCCATATAGAGTAGTGGTCAGGATGCAGCTTATATTGGAGACTGGAAGCCAGGCCAGCTTGACCTACATCAATAATGTGGGATAAACTGGCTCAATAATGCTCACAAAAACACACCTTTTTTGTTGTTGTCGTTAAATATTCAGTTCCTTCTTTTTCTTGTAACACTATTGTGTATCTTAATGGCACTTTATTGTATAGAAATATTCCTATCTTGAGACATTTACATGTAGTTTTATCTACAGTAAATCTGGACTGCCACAAATGTTTGGACATGTAAAGAAAGAAAAAAAAAAGCCCAGTGGATTGTCATGTCAAATGTCGCATCAGTAATAGTTTTAAAGATTCTCATGTGACTTAATGCAGAGTCTAACCATCTTTGAAGATAATTCACTCAACCTGACAGGCTGAAAGCTTACAGTAGCAACAGAAAGTACAGAAAATCAATACAAGCTTTATATATATATATATATATATATATATATATATATATATATATATATATATATATATTTTTATTTTTTTTTCATTTGACCTCTAATTGAATATGTTAATACATTTTTCAGTATTGGAGGTACTCATATATTTGTTATGGTTTATACCCATGAGTGAGTCAATTTGTTATTGTTTTTGTCTGACACAATAGCACACTATACATTTTGAATGCAAAATATGGAGGAGTTTCCCAGACTAAGTTTGCACTAAGTATATTTTACAAACTGAAAATGACATAATGCTTAATAAAATGCTTTTCTTTATGGTTAGATGCAATTGACATGAGTTTTAGTTATAATTAAGATATTTTATTTTTGGCATTTTATTGTAAAAAGACAACACTAATACCCTCCTCCAAAAACTTTCGATATTTATTATATCTTTTCTCCTTTATTTCAGGGTCAGTATGGAAATTTGCAGCAATGAGGCAACACACTGTTTTCAAGTCTAGGAAACATTCATCTATACATGCTTCGACAATAATCTCCTCAACATATGGAAAGGAAGATCTCTCTGGACCCGACCTATTATCTTATGCTGATCAAGATAAGCTGATTTATCAAACACCACGTTTTCCTTCACGCCATAATATTTTTAAAGCGTAGCAGAATAAAGAAAACGGTACTTGTGACTCATGGAATCTCACGGAATTGGAACAGTTAGTTTGGTTTATACATCTGACAGGTAAATAAGTATGAAAAAGATGCCATTCCTTGTTTTTATATTTATTTTTTATTTCATAGCCCTGCAGATTTTCCTGTTAGTTAGGGAAATTAGTTGTATTCACTTTCTAAATATGTCATAGACCCAATAGGGAAATTGCTGGTTATGATTTTTTAACTGTCTCATTGTTTGTTATAAGTTTGGTGGTTTTATATTCAGCATCAAATTTTAGTGGCATTGCTCAGCTTACCTAAGCATATTGTAGAGATGGACCAAGAAACTGGAAATTGTCAATTAAATTTGTATCAACTTCAGCTTAAACAGCTTTAAATTATGAAAGGGCCCGCCAGAAGTTTTAAAATCTGTTTTTTTTTGGACTGTAACCATAAGAAAATACTTAATGATTTCCAGTATCAATATAAATGCTCACAAATAAGGGTTGATGAAAGCACAGAAATGTTTGATATTTTACAGTTAACTGTATTTAGTAAAAGATGACGAAAAATGTCTTAATAAGAGAGTGACACTAAAGAGAGTTAAAAGTAGGGCTAAGTATTGGAAAGGTGCTCTGTGTTACCCTGCTGGTGGTTCAACCTCTGTCTGTTATGGAAAGTGTTGGATTTGATTTTGTCATCAATCATTATGAAAAATGATAGGTAATGCATGGATCTTTATTCTGTAGTATGTAAACAGAGATTACTTTTTAAGTAATCCTATAAACATGGTAATCTCTAAGATGCTAAAGACTGGTTTGTCATTTGTAAAGATATTATTTAATTATTAATGTATTAGTAAAATGCCAACATAACCTCTGCTCCTAATAAAAAAAATCTACCAATTAAATTGCTTTATTTAGTTAAATTAATTTAGTTAATTTGTTTTTTACACGCTGTTATAGTATCTTGTTTTATTACTGTTCTTAAACAGGAATTCTTTTTAGTTGAAAAACTTATCTGCAGGTCAAAGCTTTACATTCTTATCTATTCAGTTTTTAGTTATATGCAGTTAAGTGGATGCTAGTCAGTACTTAACTTTGGATTTAAATGTTTTATGACTTTGTCTGCACTTTTATTACTATTTTGTAGCAACAGTGAACATATTGTCTAATATTTTGTAATGCAACACAATACAGTTTTTATTTAGAAGTGATCCTGAAAGCCAAAGTAACCCAAGAACTGTAGCACTGATGTGTTCTTAATCTTTGCTTTTGTAGGTGCAACACGCTTATTTATGTTATGCATTCTTCTACTAATAAATGTACAATTCAATTTATTTCTACTGAAAGCACAGTAAAAGCTAAATGTATTGTTTCAACTTCTTTAGGTCTTGATCCTTTGCAAACATGCGGTGCACATCTTGCATAATTAATTCTTCCATCCATCCATCCATCCATCCATCCATCCATCCATCCATCCATCCATCCATCCATCCATCCATCCATCCATCCATCCATCCATCCATCCATCCATCCATCCATCCATCCATCCATCCATCCATCAGCTTAATGCATAATGATTGTTATTAATTTATGTTTTGTGAAACATAAAGATGAAGAACAGACATTAACCGTACAGTATTTTTTATAATCAAGGTGGTTGTCCGGTATCCAACTCCTCAGTGTTCTGCTAAAATGTATCTTACCTCAAAAAACCTGAAAACGGAACAGTTGCAGTTGTTTTTGCAGTACTAATCTATAAGCTGACTGTCAAACAGTCAGTTATTTTTGAACCACCCAACACTGACAATCCGATTCTCCTCTATGCTGTAACAAGTTTATTTCCTTGTTTCGATTTACTGTGAATGAAACAATTAAGAGATTTTTCTTATTCGTCTGTACTTTGTGTTTTTACCTGTGCCTGTAAACAGAACCTCCCTGAGCGGATTGTGTGGGTGTATGTGTATGTTTGCTACGTGGTGTTGTAGATACAATATGCATTTTGCAGAAGGAATGAGTCTAATTGGATGTATGTCATTTAAATGTGGATATCCTATACCTGTCTGATGTAAGACTTTTTTGTTTAAAGTTTGAATCTTATGTCTTTTATTACTATTTTCTATATTAAAATGAATTGATAATCCTTTCTATGTATATTTTGTACATTTTTTAAAAACAATCCACAAATTGCATGGTTTTGTTTTATAGTTATTAATAATGAATACACTTGGTTCAGTGTCGTATTAGGCAGTAGTTCAGTTTACATTCATACATAATGCGAACCTTTCCAAGTAAAAAAAAGGTTATTTCTGTATATTTTGTTTGTATTAAATGCACTTTTAAAGACATGTTACATTTTGTGAAGAAAAATCACGTTGAATAAATTACAATACCACTTTTCATTTTTTGGGATATACATCCTAGAATTTGACTCTATTTTATTTTTACCTATTTTAAAAAGTCTTAAAAATGTTCATAAACATTAGATATTTTTTTCTTCATCTTCAGAATGTGTAATGTTTATTACTTAGTCTTCTAATTAGGAAACTATTAATATTTCAATGAATAACAGATAACGGCCTCTAAAATGGATATAATAGTTTACCAAACTTTAGAAAGTTTAGAAAGTGTCTTTTTTTTTTTTGCATTTTAATCTGTTAAACATTTAGGAAAAGTTTTTTTCCCCATTATTGTTTGAAGCCTGAAAGAACATCCTTATGCAGCTAGAATGAGGATTGTGTCTAGATTGTTTTGGTTCAACTATCTCAGAGATAAGGGGCTTGAAAATCAGTAGGATCTTTTTAAAACCTGAATGAAGAATTTTCCTTATGCACATATGGCATGATGTCAGATTGAGTCTCAGACATAAAGCGACACAGAGGAGGCTCCAACTCTATCAAACTCAAATTAAGCCTGAGCACCCTGTGTAAGATTTGGTTGTGAGCATTGTTTATATGATCATTTGTTCTTTTTTTACTTTACTGTACATTGTTTACTGTACTGTACTTTGGTTTCTCTGTCAAATTTATTTTAATGTTGCCAAAGGCATGTTTGTTTGTCCACACCAACCTCCTGTAGGGATAAAATCTAACTCTAATATCAAGCCTCTGAATCCAAAATGAGGAACCATCAAACTAGTAAATCAGTCTTAGATTACTTTTAAGGCATAATAGATACTGTATGTTTAGACTTTCCCTATGAAGAGTCAGAGCAGGAAAATGGGAGCCTTTTATTCTCAGAGAAGTTAAACATTGGGAGCTGAAAGGTCAAATTGTCATGGCATAAATTGAATCATCTTTCAAACCATTTTTCATGTGAAATTCTAGTAAAATATATTGCATTTTTGCATTTAGCTTGAAATGTTCTAAGGATTAATGAAGTCATTCTTAATGTCCAGAAGTGAAAAATAGAAAAAAAAATGCAGATTTGTTACATTAACAAACTCTAATACGATCAGTAAGAACAAAATAAAGATAGAGAGGTTTGTAAAGGGAATTAATACAGTTTTAGGATAAAAGGACCGTTTAAGGAACATACTTATATAACTGGGATCATTTCTGCATAGGAACCACGCCTGTAGTTACAGATAGAGCCAGAAGGAGGCAGTAATGCCTCTGATTGACATCAAAATGTAAAACCCGAAGCTATTTAACCAAGAAGAAGAAGGAATTGTGTCCCTTCGCAGGTTCCGTAGTTGCAGTAAAGCGTCAAAATGTGTGAATCAACACATCAAAACATTTACAAGACGTCGTCCACCTCCTGAATCTACTAGATGATGTCTCCTGTGACGTAATAAAAAAAAAAATACTTCAGCTTCTGTTTTGTTTTTCGATCGTATCACAGATTAGTTGTTTAAAGGCTCAATGTGACATTTATCAATCCACTGAATGGTAAAAGGCACGATGTTGGCACTGTTATGGAGGGGTAGAAAGGCCTGTTGGAGCTTCGCTGACACTATTTGGAGATGCGGTTCAGGACAGGAGATGGGTCAGAGAACCTGCAGTTTGCTCAGGGAAAGTTTTCCTCCGGCGATGCAGAGGCGAACAGCGGGCGGATTCAGAGGGGTCTGCACCTCCACAGCACTCCACGGGAAAAGCCATGGAAGTCCAAAGAAGAAGAATATGTCTGAAAAGGAGCTGGTATGTGTGTGATCTGTGCTGCAGCTGGCAGCAGTGTTAAACATCATTTACCCATGCAGTAATATTTGCTAACAAAGCTTCACTTGAAACAATTTCTTACAGAATAGAATAGGGTAGAGTAGAATAGAAAAGAATAGAATAGAATAGAAAGAATAGAATGGGGTAGAACAAAATAGAAAATAATATAAAAGAACAGGATAGAATAGAAAAGAATAGAATAGAAAGGAATAGACTAGAATATAAAAGAATAGAATATGGTAGAATAGAAAATAATAGACTAGAAAAGAAAATAATAGAATAAGAAAAGAAAATAATTGAACAGACAATTCCTTTATTGTCCCTCAATGGGGAAATCAAATGTGGATCTTAGTAAAGTGTATAAGAATAACATAATAGTGAAGAGTTCAAAAGATAAACAGTAAAATACTGTACTGTAAAGTGTTTTAACAATATACTAACTAATATAACACTTTGCACCTGGAGAATAAATAACCAAAATACAGCTATGGATATTTTTACAGTAATGGATATTTGAAAATAGCTGCAAAATCAGAGATGAGCAGAATGACAGCAGCATGTTAATTAACTGACTAAGACAGAAATTGTGCAAAGTCAGCATGAATGGAACAACTTATTTAGGTTGTTTGGAACAGTGAAGGTTACAGAGTCTTATAGCTGGTGGGAGGAAGGATCTGTGATAACGCTCCCTGTTGCATTTAAGGTGCAGCAGTCTGTCGCTGAAGGAGCTCTCTAGTTCAGCAACAGCTTCATTTATGGGGTGGATATCATTATCCAACAGAGATGTTAATTTAGTTAGAATCCTTTTGTTTCTCACCTCCTGCACTGAGTCCAGAGAGTGTCCAATTACAGAGCTGGCCTTCCTGATCACCTTATCCAGCCTTTCTCTCAGCTATAGATAAGCCACTGCTCCAACAGAAAGCTCTATAGAAGATGGCTGATGCCACAACAGAGTCATAGAAGCTCTCTAGGAGCGCCCCCTGCGCTCCAGAAGACCTCAGTCTCCTCAGCAGGAAGAGTCTGTTAGGGCTTTGAATCCTGAGATTGTGAGTTCCCCGGGCGCCGCACAATGGCAGCCAACTGCTCCCCAAGGGGATTGGTTAAATGCAGAGAAGTAATTTCCCTCTGGGATTAGAGTATATGTATATGTGTGTATATATATATATATATATATAGATATATTCCATTGTGCAAAGTGTTACTTAAAATTCAGTGTACATCTTGAATCCTAAACTTGATTTCAAATTTTTAATACTTGCGGTAAAAATATGAAATAATATTGAAACAAAAGTGCAATAAAAAAAAAAAAAGCATGTCTTGTTCATCTATTTCTATACAGAATAGATTATTTGTTTTTATTTGAGTCTTTCCATCCTTCACCCACAGACCCGGCACTTTGTGGACCACCGACGTGTGAAGCTAGTTGCTGGATCAGGGGGTAAAGGTGCCTGCAGCTTCCACAGTGAGCCTCGGAAGGAATGGGGTGGCCCAGATGGAGGAAACGGAGGTGATGGAGGAAGCATTATCATAAAGGGTAAGTCATTCATACCTCTTGTCTGTTGCAGTGCTCACATTTTAATATAACTACCTAGTTAGATATAAGATAATAGGATGTATAGATCATAACATTTGTGGAATGTTATTTCCCTGAAAGCACTCACACGAGCAGCTTCTGACATTTCCCCTGGTTTAGGTGCAGCTTTATATGGGCTTAAAATGTGACAATTATAGCCTATTTTTGGATGCGTCCGTGTTTGGAGGCCCTTAAAGTTCACTATCCGGCTGATTTTTTACACCTTATGAACAAGTCCCACTTTGTTTCATGGGATTTGTTTTTCAATCTTTTAAAAAGGTGTTCAACCCTGTTCTTTGTTCACATCTGATTTCCACATTTTTCCTACAAATCCTCCTTCTATTATTTTTTGTTCTATTATTTATTTGAACATGTGGCTTTGTAACACTGGCTTTTTGTAGCTTACCGTCATTGACTCACTGCTGGATATCAGTCAGTCACTGACAGATGCCAAACTATGACCAATGAACACATTTAAAGGAGCAGGAGCATAGTACTTAATGTGTATAATCCTTAAGAAATTGATTTAAATTTCACGTTCAATCATTTTAAGGGAAAAAAAAAAATAAATAAATGGAGCTTATTTAGACCTCGCAATGCTCAGATTTTTTAGGCATTTTGGGGGTTCATTGGCAAAAGTAAACAAAAATAGGAACAGAAACAAATGCTTAGATTTTAGCCCTATGGTTAATGTAAAGTCACATTTGGTAAATAAGAATATTATATTGTAATAAAATCAATTTATGTAAGTAACTTTAATCCAGCAAGTAAAACCGATTTCTGTTAATTTTGATGATTTTCTTACAGCTGATCAAAAAACTGTATTTAAGATTAGAACATTTCCTCAGAGCTATAAAGGAATATTTTAAAAGAAGTATTGACTAAATAAAATATGTTTTAATGCTTAAGGGGTGTTATTTTATTAACTTACTTTAAATCTGATAAGCAGGCCTCATTGCAAAGCATATTCTTATTTATTAACTACAAGTGTAAATGAGTAAAATATTAATTAGATAAAAAACATTAAATATTTACAATTCATAAACTTTACAATAATGCCCTAATTTCTTTACACGCTTCTGTAGCTTTGCTCAGATTTGCTATTGAATTTTCCTGTGGCTGTTCATTACTGTTTGAATGTTTAGGTGCGTTTCCCAAATACTGTGAAAACTTTAAATGAAAGAAGGCTTTTTACTGCACTGTTAACCAGTTTCTTCAATAGAAGTGACTCATTCAAGAAAGCAGCATGTGCCACCTTAATAACCCTTTATAGGGCAAGTTACAATTTTAGATCACTTGCATTCTCCCTACAATTATTGTTACCAGTCTATCACCGTTAACTGTCATGTCCCGCACTTTATGTTAGTCTGTAAATGTCAGTCTTGTATATTTCTAGAGAGAAAACGTAATTTAATTTCCCT